AGAGAACCAGTGAGCAGGCAGAGATTCCTGAAGCGGATTCTACTGTAAGCTACATTTCTGCCATTCTGCCATGCGAGTTTGGTTGCACATTGGTTGAAGATTGTAGGATTGCCACAGTCACCACGCGTGAGTCATTGGACTTGCCCATTCATGTAAACCAGGATGAAGAAGAATTAGGGAACATGAAGAAATTTGCCAATCCGATTCTGTGGGGAGAGTCTGAATTCCCCAGAGATTTGGAAGAGGCAGGAATGAACAAGGAAATGAATTCCATGAAGGACTTTGATTCGTATGTAGAAGAGAAAACCGAGGATTTGACGCAGGAAGAAGTTGATTCAGCAATTTCAATGAAGTGGGTTAAGTCTTGGAAAGGAGCAGAAGTGAAGTGTAGATTGGTAGCCCGTGGCTTTGACCAATACATTGAAGATAAGGATGACACATTCGCTTCTACCCCAAGCTTGTCCACATTGAAGTTGTTGATTGCGTTGTCCATTGCCATGAATTTGGATGTTGTGATTGCAGACGTGTCCACCGCATTCTTGCATGCGACGTTGTGGCAGAAGATTTTTGTCATTCCTCCAAAGGAGTACTACCCTCAAGGGGGCGTACTTTGGCGATTGAAGAAGGCATTGTATGGCCTGAAAGGTTCGCCAAAGGCATGGCAACAGCATTTAGCCAAGACCATGCTTGACGCGGGATTTGAGCGTTTGAAGTCAGATCCGAATTTGTACCGACACAAGACCAAGAAATTGTGGGCATTGGTCTATGTCGATGATTTGATGTTTGTAGGTGAGCGACGTGACATTGATGAGGTGATGCAAGATTTGAAGAAGGTGCTTCTGATTCGGCAGACAGGTGAATTGAGTGAAGGTAAGACAGTCTCCTTCTTGGGACGTCAGATTCGCCGAACATCAGATTCCATGGAATTGTTCATGTCTCCTGATTACATTGACCGCATGCTGGATTCCTATGGCATGACCAAGAGCAAGCCGGCTCAGACGCCAGGAGGAGATTCATTGCGGAAGTTGCTTGACAACGAATTGTTGAATTCGCAAGAGCATAAATTGTATAGGAGATTGGTTGGACAATTGTTGTGGCTTGCAGCATTGCGTGTTGACATCATGTATGCTGTTAAGGAGTTGTCACGAGGATTGGTTGCTCCCACTGAGGTGCACAAGATTAAGTTGAAGACATTGTTGAGGTACCTGAGTGGAACCAAGGATTATGTCCATGTTATGAGACCTGATTTCCGGATTGGAAGACAGGTGAAATCATTGGACATAAAGGTCTATGTGGACAGCGATTGGGCAGGTTGCACCGATTCCAGGAGGTCCACATCAGGAGTAGCATTGAACATTCTCGGCATCAACATTTCAGCACACAGCAGAACACAGGCCACCATTGCCTTGTCAAGTGGGGAAGCCGAACTTTATGCTATTGGAAGTGGTGCGGCCGAGGCCCTATTCATTAAATCTTTGATTCTGGAAACCCTTGTGGCTCCCAAGGTGAACATCATTCTGTTTACCGATTCAACTGCAGGCAAGAGCATGGCTGTCAGATTTGGGGCATCCCGGAAAACCAAACATGTCCAATTGCGATTTCTGTTTGTCCAGGAGCTGGTTTCCTCTGGGACCCTGGTGATTAAGAAGATTCCGGGAACCCTCAACCCATCTGACATTTTAACCAAGTATGTTGCCAAGGCAATTTTGCAGAGGCATAACATCACATTAGGGATTTGCCCTTCAGGTAGTAGATAGTCAACATGATTCTGTTTCACTTAGTCAGTAGTCAAGACATTTTGCCACGAGTGAATTCGAAGCCATTTCATGCATGACTGCAACATTTGTTTTGCTCAACATTCTGACTGACATTTCGGTGTGCATTTACTTCGACCGATGCGATGGACAGCCCGCATTCCGGAATTTGACGCGACAGTATTTCCACCGGATTCTCGCAAGAGATTTGAAGATGGAGCGCACGAATTTTTCGGAATACAAGGCATTCATTACGGCCACGATGTTGTGGCAGATTCTATTCAGCGGCCAGCAACAGGAACAATTTGGGTTCCAGGATTTTATTTTCATGAACCGATTCGCGGACGATGCCTGGAGTGCGCAGATTCTGATCAGGATCATTCCAAACATTGCGGCTGGGAGTATGTCCTATACTCCCAGGATTTTTGTGGCACATTGGCCAATTCCCAGGAGAGATTGACATTCATTCAACCCCACATTGAAATTTGCAACATTTATGCTGCCATTATTGATTGTGTATTTGGAACAGATTGATTCAGTATTTGGCGGACGCACCAGTGGTGATTGGATTCAGGCCACATTCGCAGCGATTTCTTGATTTCATGAGGCATTCATTTACTCACGTATTTGTGAGGTCTCACATTGACCCCATCATTCACTTCAAGGATTACATTTGGGATTCAAGAGACAGCTTGGCGATGCAGGAGATTTGCTCCATGGCCGGATTCAATATCAAGGCCCAGATTGGGGAATTGATGCTCGCTGCCAATTCATTGCAGCAAAGCAATTCCCATTGGTACCGGGATTACCACATGTTCATTCCCAAGACCTGGAAGACTTCATTGGACAAATTCATGGGCGACTACCAGGAGATTCCCAAGTCACTGGTAGATTCATATTACAGAGCGAAGCTGTGATTCAGCATTGGTGGAGCTGGGATTTCGATTCTGGCCAGGCACCGATTTGGATGCATTTATTCCACACTGGATTTGCATTGAGATTCTATGTTCATTGGATATCGCGATTTTGCCTGGTTCGATTTGCCACTTCATTTGTGATTCAGTTTTCGGCATTTGTGTGGAGGTACAGTTACAACATTACTGTAGATGACAGTTTACTTTTGGTTTGGATTCATCTATGACACCAATACATTGAGAGGACGTTTTCTGGTGATTCTGGAGGCGATACTCTTGGAACACATTCTGTCTGTGATTCGAGTCCACAATACATTCAACCACTTGTCCTTGTGCATTTCCCAGCATTGCAATTCTTTTGGTGATGATTAGGTCACCCGTTTTGCATAGACATTTTGCAGAGAGAAAAGATTTCAAGGCAGCTTGGCATTCTTTGGAATGCATTTGTGCTAGTGGAGTGTGGATTAATTCCACATTTTCCATTAATCCAAGGGGGCGTGCGAAAGTACACCATGCATTCCCACTTGGATGTAATTCATACTGATTACCATTGCATGGCTCAAGATGACAAAGGTGCATTTGCTGCCTTGGTTGATTAGCAGAGATTAGTCTCTGATTTTCCCAGGTCAGCTGGGGGGCCGCATCCCCAGCATGCCCAGCATTTCCGGTTTCTTGTCACGGCTGCGTATGGGGCATGACTTGATGCTCGGGATAGCGCATCGCCAGCATTACTGGCCTCACTCGGACGCGAGCTGCCTATTGGCTTTGGTTTGGTGGCAGTTCAGGGTTGATCGGGGCTGGTTTGGGGTGAGTGCTGGGCTTGCTGAGATATTAATGCGGGCGGGTCTTGGGTTTGTTTAGGGTTCATTTAGCCTCGGCAAAGGGCCGATATGCAGGATGCGGTTGGGAGGGTTTCAGGTTGACTTTGGGTCGGTTTTGGCTTGGTTGGGGCTGATTCGTGCTAGATGTGCGGCTGGTTTAGCCGTGGCTTTCGGGTTGCTTCAGGGATGTGGTTCTGCAAGTTTTGTGCTGGTTTGGGATTGGTTGTGGGGCGTTGCCCCAAACCACCAATCCTAGCCCAAAACTTGCAGAACCACATCCCTGAAGCAACCCGAAAGCCACGGCTAAACCAGCCGCACATCTAGCACGAATCAGCCCCAACCAAGCCAAAACCGACCCAAAGTCAACCTGAAACCCTCCCAACCGCATCCTGCATATCGGCCCTTTGCCGAGGATAAATGAACCCTAAACAAACCCAAGACCCGCTCGCATTAATATCTCAGCAAGCCCAACACTCACCCCAAACCAGCCCCGATCAACCCTGAACTGCCACCAAACCAAAGCCAATAGGCAGCTCGCGTCCGAGTGAGGCCAGTAATGCTGGCGATGCAATATCCCGAGCATCAAGTCATGCCCCATACGCAGCCGTGACAAGAAACCGGAAATGCTGGGCATGCTGGCGATGCGGCCACCAACCCCCAGCTTGTGCCGAGCCGGGGTTAGTAAAACTAGTAAAAAAAAAAACACCTCAACCCTGACTTCTACGGGGGTGGCTTTTGGTTGGTAAGTACCCCGTAGAACCCATTTTGGTTGGTTTTCGTGCTCATTTGACATGGGGTATCCCCCACCTGAGCCATATGACATTTGTATAACTCCGCCCATTTTGTGGGTTGGTAGATGACCGAAATCCTGCACCACCTAAGAAAGCCTGCAATGATTCGAATCCCCTGCAAGTAGCCACAAACAACATGGTTTCAACCACAGTTTCATTTCGCGATTCGATTTCTGGATTTCGCAACCAACAGCAGTATCTCAATGTGGGGGATTCTCATCAATGGGGGCTGGGGGGGATGGAGGGGAGGGGGAGGGAGCCCAACAAAAAACCTTATTAAGGCCATATTTCCCTCCCCCTCCCCTCCCTCCGCCCCAGCCCCCATAATTAGCTTGGTGGCTCCCAGCCCTCCGCTTTTTAGCCTTTTGGTGTTTAGTCGAAATTTGCGCATTTCACCCACTAAAAGTTTGTCACTTGCGGGGGATCGGAAAACGGGCCCAGAATTCCTTGGCCCGTTTGCAGTCCATTTTGGGCTATGGCTTCCTTAACCCCACCTCATGTGACATTTGTGTAACCACCTATTTTTGGTCGTTTTTGGTTTGTATGTCCCTTTGAGCTACGAATTCCTGGCCGGGAGCCACAAAAAACCCTTATTTAGTCCTTAACAAAGGCCACCCACAGTATGTCCATGTGGGCTAACCCACGTATAACTCCACCCATGTTTGGGTGGTATGTCCCATTGAGCTACGAATTCCTTGGCCCTCGGCCATGGCGTTTGAGGGCACCCACGTGGGCCTCGGCGCGGGGCTGGTGGCCTCGCTGCTCAAAGAGAAGTTCGCCGTGGCGCTGAGCGTGCGGCGCCGGCGAGTGGCAGTGGTGAAGGCCGTGAAGGCCTTCGAATGCGGGGAACGTGGGGTGATGACCCCGGATGAATAAACCCCAGTTTGTTAATATGGGGGTGCTTTTCCCCGGTTTTAGTTGGGATTCAGACCACTTCTGGAGGGGCCCCCACCCCCATACAAGTAAGGTCCGGCAGAGCCGGGGGGCGGAAGTTTCAAAGCAGTGAACAACTATAGTTTGGAGAACTGTCCTTGGCCCCTTGCTTCTCTTTCTCTCTCTCTTTTTCTCTCTTTCTCTCTTTCTCTCTTTCTCTTTCTCTTTCTCTTTCTGTTTCTCTGTCTCTTTCTCTCTCTTTCTATCTATCTCTCTAGCTATCTCTATATCTGTTTATTGATCTATCTATCTACCCATCTTTCTCTGCACTTAAAAGTTGCGATGTTCAATCCCCGAAAGTTGACTTCGCGTACTACTTTCGTACTTAAAAGTTGCGATTTTCGAGCCCCGGCTGCGAAAGTGGACTTTGCGCACTACTTTCGTACTTAAAAGTTGCGATTTTCAAGCCCCAGCTGCGAAAGTTGACTTCGCGTACTACTTTCGTACTTAAAAGTTGCGATTTTCAAGCCCCGGCTGCGAAAGTGGACTTTGCGCACTACTTTCGTACTTAAAAGTTGCGATTTTCAAGCCCCAGCTGCGAAAGTTGACTTCGCGTACTACTTTCGTACTTAAAAGTTGCGATTTATCTATAGATCTCCTATCTATCTATCTCCCTCTATCTATCTAGCTAGTTATTTGTCTATCTATCTACAAATCTATCTATCTCTGTCTATCTCTGTTTCTCTATCTCTTTCTATCTATTTCTCTAGCTATCTCTATATCTGTTTATTGATCTATCTATCTACCCATCTTTCTCTGCACTTAAAAGTTGCGATGTTCAATCCCCGAAAGTTGACTTCGCGTACTACTTTCGTACTTAAAAGTTGCGATTTTCGAGCCCCAGCTGCGAAACTGGACTTCACGTACTACTTTCGTAGTTAAAAGTTGCGATTTTCGAGCCCCAGCTACGAAAGTGGACTTCGCGTACTACTTTCGTACTAAAAAGTCGCGATTTTCGAGCCCCAGCTGCGAAAGTGGACTTTGCGTACTACTTTCGTACTTAAAAGTTGCGATTTTCAAGCCCCGGCTGCGAAAGTGGACTTTGCGCACTACTTTCGTACTTAAAAGTTGCGATTTTCAAGCCCCAGCTGCGAAAGTTGACTTCGCGTACTACTTTCGTACTTAAAAGTTGCGATTTTCGAGCCCCGGCTGCGACCTTGGCTGCGCCTGCCACAAATCTGTGCTTGACCTTGCTGCTGCGCCTGCCACAAAATCTGTACTTGACCTTGCGAAAGTGCTGCGCGTGCCACGAATTTTGCACTTGACCTTGCGAAAGTGCTGCGCCTGCCACAAATTCTGTACTTGACCTTGCGAAAGTGATGCGCCTGCCACGAATTTTGTACTTGACCTTGCGAAAGTGCTGCGCCTGCCACGAATTTGGCACTTGACCTTGCGAAAGTGCTGCGCCTGCCACGAAATCTATACTTGACCTTGCGAAAGTGCTGCGCCTGCCACGAAATCTATACTTGACCTTGCGAAAGTGCTGCGCCTGCCACGAAATCTACACTTGACCTTGGGAAAGTGCTGCGCCTGCCACGAAATCTACACTTCACCTTGCGAAAGTGCTGCGCCTGCCACGAAATCTATACTTGACCTTGCGAAAGTGCTGCGCCTGCCACGAAATCTATACTTGACCTTGCGAAAGTGCTGCGCCTGCCACGCAATTCAAACCTTGCGAAACCTTCGCGCGGCCGTGCCAATGGGCCCGTCTCCGAGACCGTTCCGAGACCGTTCCGAGACCGTTCCGAGACCGCCTCCGTACAGGCGTCGCAGCCGAGGTGGTTTGCGCACAGTCCGGAAGCCCAATTCACGCACAGCGCCAACGTTTTCTGCATCTTGCCATCCCCCAGCTCGCAGAGAGTGCTTGCGAAAGTGCTGCGCCTGCCACGAAATCGATACTTGACCTTGCGAAAGTGCTGCGAAAGTGCTGCGCCTGTCACGAAATCTACACTTGACCTTGCGAAAGTGCTGCGCCTGCCACGCAATTCAAACCTTGCGAAACCTTCGCGCGGCCGTGCCAATGGTCCCGTCTCCGAGACCGTTCCGCACCCGTTCCGAACCCGTTCCGAGACCGCCGCCGTACAGGCGTCGCAGCCGAGGTGGTTTGCGCACAGTCCGGAAGCCCAATTCACGCACAGCGCCAACGTTTTCTGCATCTTGCCATCCCCCAGCTCGCAGAGAGTGCTTGCGAAAGTGCTGCGCCTGCCACGAAATCTACTTACTTGACCTTGCGAAAGTGCTGCGCCTGCCACGAAATCTACACTTGACCTTGCGAAAGTGCTGCGCCTGCCACGCAATTCAAACCTTGCGAAACCTTCGCGCGGCCGTGCCAATGGTCCCGTCTCCGAGACCGTTCCGAGACCGTTCCGAGACCGTTCCGGGACCGTTCCGAGACCGCCTCCGTACAGGCGTCGCGACCGAGGTGGTTTGCGCACTGTCCGGAAGCCCAATTCACGCATGGCACCAACGTTTCTGCAACTTGCTATCCCCCAGCTCTCCTGATTTCAGCTTTTCTCGTAGCTTTTTTCGCGCACATCCATGTATCTTAAAGCTATCTATCTGTCAAGCTGGTTATATGTCAAAGCTATCTATCTGTCATGCTAGTCTTTGGAAAGCTATCTATGTGTTAAGCTGGCTATATGTCAAAGCTATCTATCTGTCATGCTGGCCTATTGGAAAGCTTTCTATCTGTCAAGCTAGCTATATGTCAAAGCTATCTATTTGTCATGCTAGCTACCTGTCATAGCTATATGTCAAAGCAGCTAGCTCATTTAGTTCCAGTACTACGGAAGTTTCTTGTTAAACTTCCTTTGATTAATAAACAGGGGTCAACATTAATCCGGGGTCAACATTACGGGCGATCCCCAGGTTTGCCATGTCTGCAGCCCGCGTTGTCCAAGGAGTCAGTTGGAAGGGGTTTGTTTCGAGAAAACATGCGCTGCCTGATGATTTTACCAACCTTTCCTGAGCCCATGGATTTTTGTCACCTTTTGGGAAGACCATGTTGGTGGTAATTAAAAAAAAAAAGTTCAGGCCAACCCACTCAGGAAGTGAGTTATGGGACTCGGATTCATAGGCCCTTGGTGTGCCCGGGGCCCGGGGGTTCATCACTTTTGGAGGGGAACGCCCGGAAATTTTGGGAACGCCGGATTCATAAACTCACTTCCTAAGTTGATGGACTTTATTCACTTTTTGGGATTGGACCATGCTAGTGGTAAACAAAAGGTCTAGACTTTTTTCGGGCCATACACTCAGGAAGTGAGTAACCCCCTGGTTGGTGTCCTTTCAGTGGGGGGTTCATCAATTTCGGAGGGGAACGCACTCTTTGGGCCAGTCGTATGCGTAAGCATTGTTTAGAACAGCTTGGAAATGATGGTTCCAATTTGTTTCATTAGCCGGCCCGCAAACCAGGCATTTGGTTTCTGTTTCATTGCCCTTCAAACCAGAAGGGGGGCCCTGCATTTGGAGAATCCTCCCCATACTGCGGATGGACGAAATCCCACCATTTGAAACCATGGGAAGCCATGGGAAACCTAGCAAAGCCATTGTTCATTGGTTTTGGAGGGTCCTCATTTTTTCCGGTTTCTCATGCGGTGCCAAATGGTTTTCGCAACCATACACAGCATGAGCAGCGTCCTGTCCAGCAATCAATTTGCGGTTTCCATTTTGAATGAGCTTGCTTTTGGCGCAGGTGGGGGCCGTTGTTGTCGTCTCTGCGAGCGAGCCTCCTTTCAAAGCAGCCACACCTGGGATCTGGATAGGGGCTTGAACGGGGTCGGTGTGTCTCAAATAGGGACCCTTCAAAATGGGTGGTTTTCTTCTTGGTGTCCCTTTACAACACCAACAAAGAAGGGTTCCCTCAACAAAGCCGTTGGTGCTCAACTATGGTTGCAAACAACCGGTGTATGATATTCGTGTTGGTGAATTCTGGTTACGCTGTGTTTTTGGCATCATGCCAACCCATGCCAAAGCGCCCAAGCCAAGTGGCGCTTGGGGACCAAAGGAGTCACCGGTGACTACAAAACCACCAGACATGAAATCACCAGGCAAACCACAAAACTTGAGAAAATGTTAACCCAGGATATGTTGTGTTTGTGTGTGTGTGTGTCCCTGGTTTAGTCGGGTCAACATGACCTTCCTTTTTTGTTGGTCCATATTTTGAATAGGTTAACCTATTTGTGGATCCTTTGGGCAACTCAGCCCTTGCGCCATTCGCAGTGCCTCGTGTGATGGACAGCTGCCAATCCGTTGATCGCATTGCTTTCTGGAAATCCCGCCGGGCCCAGGGGCCCAGGGGCCCGGCATCGCTTTCCAACTTTGTCAGGCTTCTTCTTGGCTCAGTCGCATGGTTCCACACCGTTCGGGCCAGTGAGCTTCCTTTTTGATGTAATGTCCTACCCCCTCAAAAGTGGCCGCACCGAACAACAAAAAGTCCGACCGGAACAATGTCCGACCAAAGGGTTTTGGATGAACATTAACCATACCGGGATATACAGGGTCCACCCTGTTCCATGGGAGGGCGCGCCGCGCCGAAATTCTCTGCAGGTTGTGGCGGCTACGGACGCCTATCTTCGGAGACAGGCCTTTGAACAGGGCGCTCCAGAGCAATTTGGGACCAGACAAAAATGGGTGGTCGCCTTGTGGTTTCCCGGTTTTTACAAGACACGCCCACTTGTCTACGAAACAAGCAACAAGGGGCATTCTGCCCGAAGTCCTTGTTTTAGGTTGATATTTTGGCACAGTTCCTGAGGAATCTCCTGTCGGGTTTCTATGGGGTTCACCAAATGTGAAACATAAAGTTCCCACAAGCTTGGACATATGATGTTTTTGTGTTGTTGATGTGAGCCCAGTTACGCATTGGGCGCGCAGTTGCCTGAGATGAACAATAATGACCTGCTTAAATATGAGGGTGTCCACGTTTATGGAAACGCACCCTGTTATTATCCACCAGGTGACCAATTTATAGTGTTCCAAGAAGGGGATAACCCCAGGCCATAGTTGATGCTTCCTGGTGGGCAACAAAAAGCCTCTTTGGCCCCATGAGGGTTTCTTTGATGCCCATTAACTAGGTCCCCCAGTAGTGCCCTTTTACCCTTGTTTGCGGGAGGGTTCCCCTTCTAAAAAAAGACTTACAAAAGTCGGTACCCTTGTTCTAACCTCTCTACTGGAGGACCTAGTTAAAGAGGGTTGCCCAGGGGCGGTGTTTCAAACAAAACTTGCCCACCCCTGGCGACAGGGTGTCGGGCGTGTGGCGGTGTCACTGCGCTGGCTGCGCTGCTCGGCCCAATAGAGCGGTGAGGGAGGTGCGTCCTATTTCACAGGGGATCCGGCCGAGTTTCGTAGTGCACACAGACGTGTTTCCCACGGCAACTTTTTGCATGGCCGGTTTTGGTGTGACCGAACCACCCCAGAGCGACCTTTTTGAAACAAATCGCAGTTCCAGTAACCCAAGAAAAGCTCTGAAGTGACATTCCGTCATAGGGAGGGGATCAACCACAACACTCATGGGCGAAAGGCGCGCGCCCCTAGGCCCTCTCAGGGCCGTGTTCCAAGCATGTGCTCCCTCTCAAGCTGGGGGTGCCAATCTCTATTTTGGGCACATGGGTGTTTTTATGAAAATTATTGAGGGGATTTTGTTTTGGGCGGGAGCCAACAGGAGATCAATGTGTTTGGTCTTACCCCGGATGTTTCATTTGTTTTCATTTGTTTGGTTTTTCCCCGAACCCCCTCTTCAGGGTGAATAGGAAGTAAATCCCTCTCACCTCCCGGGTGGCTCGCTCGTCTTTTTTGGAGTTGCCGCTGGGATAGCCAAGTGGGTGGGCTTTTCGTTTAGTCACTGTTGCTGCTTTTCTCAGTTGTCCAAAGCGAATCGACCTTTTGACATTTTGGTTTTCCCATGTTGGTCCATTTTTAGTAGAGGTGCCAAAAGGTTAATCCTTTTAGTTCCAGGTCCTTTGGGCAACTGAGTTTTTGTGGGAAAGTAGACGGCTGGCGATCCAGGCGGATTTTTTTTGGGTATGATGGTTTTGTTGCAGGGAAGTCATTTTGAGCGGCGTGCTTGTAGGGTACCATTTTTTGTGTTTCAAGGGAAGCGGAAGGGTTCCCGCCACAAACCAATTGTCGAACACGGTTGCGCCATTTTGGGGGTCTTTGTAAATTAACAAGGACCTAGCCACAGAGACCATACTTCTAGGGGACACTTCCCCATTCATGGGTCGAAGGGCCCGGCCATTCGTTGGCAGGTGATCCCAACCAGCCCTCGCAACCTGAGCCTCGGCAAAGAAGCAACACAAAAACTGGGTGGCTCGCTTTTTGGTTTTTTGCTTGCTGGGTTGTTTTCATGGTGGCATCCTCAACAACAAAAGGGACACCCATATGTGGAGGGCCCTTTTTGCTTTTGCGTCTCTTGAGGCTGTTGTTGCCATGTTGGCGTTTCTGGCCCCTTTGACTTGCTGGGGAGGGGGGGGACAGTCACTCACTTGCCCTTTGACATAAAAGGTGTTAACCTTTTGGAGCCACGAAAATGGGAATCCAAATGGGGGAACATAGCTTCCATTTGCTTAAGAACATGTGTTTTTCTGCTGTTGGTTTTAAAGGGAAGCGATCCCACCTGATATTTTTTTAAGTTTTTCCCAACGGGAAAAATAGAGAAAACAGTCATTTCGATCGGTCGTTTTGCTGACCCTTCCACTGGACATCTATCCTGAGACCACCTTTTGATGGTTGCATGTTAATTTGCAAGGGAGTAGCTAGTTAAATGTGGAAAGGAAGAAAAATCCAATGGTTTCCGCTAGATGACGGAGAGGATGTCATGCTCAACTGTTCAAATCAGGGTTCAACTTTTTGACCACCCCAAGATAGACGTACCCCCAGGTGTTCCACCTTTGAGCGTCATGAACGACCTCCGGGTTTAAGTCTACCCAGGGGTAGTCAAAAAGTGGAACCCACGACCTTTCCTCCAACCCTTCCACCAATTAACATGGAACGTGACGTTTTGGGGAGTCCTGGATCCAGCATTTTCCTTTTAAAGGGATCATTTCGCACACCTCAGGTTCTGTCTGTTGATTGGTGGGCGTTCCCAAAGTGGTTGGATCCATGAACCTAGGAATTCCCTTACATCCTGTGGGTCAGTTTCAAAAGAATGCTCAAGATGTGAGGATGCTGCCTCGAAACCAGTCCTTTACACCTGATTGAGAGATTGCAGACTTGCTTGAAGCATTTACCCTCTGGGAAAAGGCGAGGCACCGAAGTTCGGAACAGGTAAGTGGGACGCTGTTGAGGTTTTGATTCAGGTTTGAAAGAACTGCATAAATTCATTTCTTACCACCTCCGGAACCTGGAATGATTTAATTACCCTGTAAATATAAACCAACAATGGTTTCTGCTGGTTTCAAAGTGGTGCAGGATTGCGTCCATGCACAGTAGGTATGTCTTGTTCTTGATACCCTTTGTAAGTTGCCTTGAAGGAAAAGGACGACATCACCAGTACCCCCCCGACTTGCCTGCTTCTTCAACCAGGTCAAAGAAAAACCCAAGTACGGAAACTAGGTATTTCAGTAGAGAGGTTAGAATAAATCGGTAACGTCTTTTGTTCCTTTTTGCCGATTTTAGTAGGTGAACCCTCCCAACCAAAAAACCGTCGGAGGGCGTTGCACCTGGAGGTCTGAGGGCGATTCTTCTTCAACCAGGTCAACAATCCCACAGCAACCTTTCCTACTGTGGATGGACGAAATCCTGCACCACCTAAGAAGCCCTGGAATGATGATTCCCCTGTAAATACCAACGGACAATGGCTTCCTTTGCTTTTAAACTCACTCCCTGAGTTCATGAACTTTATACTTTTTGGGAAGACCATTTTGGTGGTAAACAAAAAGTTTGGACTTTTTTTGGCCAATCAACTCAGGAAGCGAGTAAAGTGGTGCGAACGGATTCCGTCCATCCACAGTATTTCCTAATTTCCTAAGTCCTCGGCCGCTGGAGGTCTTCGAGGAGCCAGAGGCGCCATACCTGGCAGGGGCCCAGGGTGGGGGGGTGGTGGTTCTTTTTTGGTTGCCTGGATCGCCAGTTGCGATCGTTTTTTTTTTTGTGTTTTCCCCATGCACTTTGCCGCAAAAGCCAGCAACAGTGACTGAAAAAAGGAGCAACTCGGCTATCTAGCTGGTTGGAGTTGGATTTGATTGAATTTGATGCTGTATTTGATTGAATTTGGCCGTATTTGGTTGTGTTTGGTTGTAGTTCGTTGTACTTTGGACTTGGTTGGGTGGGTTGATATCAGGCCCCCCTGCTCACCACATCCCCTTCTGAGGTTTTAAGATCCTCTGCAGGAAAGGTGCCTTTGGATTGCTCCCTACGTTGGTGGCGGTTTCTCAGTGCCATTTGCGCAAGCTAGGTTTCCCAGTAGTGCCCTTCTCTCCTCTTTTTCGGGGGAGGGTTCCTTTAAGAAAATAGACTACAGAAAAAAGAGGGTACCCTTATTCTATCCTCTCTACTGGAGGTCCTAGTGAGAATCTGTTTGAATGTCCCTTGTTGGTTTTAAAGGAACCTACCGCTACCGGAAATATAGTCATTTCTTCCAGGCGACGAAAAGAGCAAATGGCAGCAATTGGAACACAACTTCTGTTTGCTCAAGAATATGTTTTATTGTCCCCGGTTGGTTCTCAGAGGGCATCCATCGTTGCTGGACATCTTGTCAAATGTCCAGGGACCGGAAAAGCAAATGGAAGACAAAAACCGGCGGCGTTTCCCGAGAAGAAGCCCAAAAAAATGCACCGTCCAACCTGAGCTCGTTTCTTTTTGGGCGACCCCTTTTTGGGGCGGTTTTTTCAAGGGACAAGGATACCCTTTGGCCATCTTGGGGCCTTTGGAAACTCCTTTGAGCCGAGCTTCAAAAAAGGGAACCGGGTGCACTGAGAAGAACACCACCCCACAGACACCCCATTTATGCCCAGAGTCATGTGGCTCATGAGTTTTAAGAGTTGGAACCACCTCAACAGTGAAGAAGGTGGACATGAATCCCCATGTAAATGATGTCCACCAAAAGGTCACTTAAATGAAAATTCATAGCCATGTAGCTCATGCCAGAGGAATGCACGCCTTGGGCGGAGAGGTGGAGAGGGCCTTGGATTCGGCTAAGGTGGTACTCACGTGCAGGCTGCAGGACAGCGCCTGATGCGCCGCTCGAAGCTCCATTCGGCATGTGGCCTTCGTTGCGAGTTAAAGATCACTGCTCAAGCCTCCGTTGCTTAAAATATGCTTCGGTTTCACTACTGGACATGTTTTTCTCATTAGATCCAGTGGGCCTTAGCAAATGGTGGTCAGCCAAAAAAGGGAACCAACTCGAAGAATGACGCCCACATGCCCTGGCGGTTGGGCCAAAGCGCCCGGCGCCTCTCAAGTCAGGCGACGGAACATGGTTTTGTGCGCCTGGTAAATGCCTTGGATGAGAAGCAAGCGGTTGTTTAGACTTGTGCGGCTGCTTGGATGAACCATGCGGCCTTGGAGTTGTTGTAATGGCTTTCCGCTACTCTCCTCGAGTTGGTTTTCCATTGACTGTTGTTTTCGGGGAAATGTTTTGGATGAGAAGAAAACTGTTTAGACTCACGCGGCTGCTTAGATGCACAAGTTTCGGTCAGGCGTGCCTTGCTCAAACGGTTTGACCTGCCGCCGCTGTTTCGTCCAATGGGAGCGGAAGATCTAGCTGGCAGCCACCAGCCCCTCGACCTTGTGCTGCTCAACTTTCCTGACCAAGTCTTAAACCAATCGGAAAGGGTACCCCAAAAACAAGCTCAAGTGACTCAAGTGGTCCAAGTGGTGTTAAGTCCTTTTGTCAAGCAGGTTTCCGGCGTTTCTTGCAATCAATTTGCCGCGGGGAACACACACACACACACACGCATATCCTACCGGAGAACTAAAAACTGGCAAACTTCGAACATGTTGGTTTTGGGCAAGTGAAGTTCGTGTACTCGTTTGGTTGGTTCCTAAATGTGAAAGTGAAGCAAGGAACACGTTGAACCCCTATATAGTACTTGCCCATGGCTTGCGTTTGATGCATTTGCATTGTTTGGGAAGCAAAGGTTGGCAGGACACCAACCAGCAGACTAATTGTAACTACAACTAGCTAACAGACTAAACAACTCTCCAGAGCGACTAGCTATAGCCAAGCACGACTCAGTTTGCTGACTCGCAAACTAACTAAGCAACCAAGCAACCAAGCAACCCATCCGCCAGCCAGCCAGCCAACCAAGCCAGGGGGGGCATTTTCACAAAGGCCATGAGTTCCCATGGTGTCAATCCCGCCGCTGCCCCGCGGGGCTTGGCCGGAGCTGGAAGGCGAGCTTTGCAGAAGCTGGTTCGATAGGCAACGCCCCCAGGCAAAACCATCCCACGGTTTCCTTCAAGGGAAACCACGGGAAAAACCATCATCTACGGCTTCCTTTAGGGGAATCCCTGAAGGATTGATTTGGCATCACCCCAAGAAAGACCATCATCTATATGGCTTCTTTTAAGGGAATCCCCGAAACCGGTTCATTCCGATTGAACACGCTGGGTTGGCCAGGGAACCCGAAAAAATGCAATTCTTCCATTTGCTGAGTTAATATGTTTTTTTCTCCTGTTGGTTTTAAAGGGAATCGACTTCACTACTGAGTTGTTTTTGTTGTTTTTCCAGGGGACTTAAAGCAAATGGGGGGGGCCCCTTTTTTTGATGGCTTTAAAGGAAACACAAAGGACGCTACCTGCTTGGGGTCCCCAATTTTGAGACACTTTAGTGCTTTGAAATAGCAAGTTCGGTTTGCTTTAACAATGCACTGAATAGGAAACAGCGTCAGGAACCATGATGTTTAGTACCCCAGATGAGTTCACCCTGACTTTGCTTCCGGATCCAAACCAAACATGTGTTCAATCCCCATGTTTTGATCGAACCATGATCTTAGTACCCCAGTAGAGTTACCTGATTTTGCTCACCACCAATGATTTTAGTACCTCTGGAATGCGCTTCTCACCCCCCCCGGAATGAAACCCTGGAAATGAAACCATAACGTTTGTTGGTATTTACCTTAAAATCGAATCAGAAACCAGGCTTTCTGCACGGCGGTGCTTTGGATGCATTTCGCAATCCACAGCTTCGCGAGTGTGATGGGTGTGATCTGTTTTGGGAAAGGTCTTCTGGTTGGGAAAGGGCAACCAACAGGACAACCAAAGCCATTTCTGGGGTTCCCTGACAAACCTCAACACATTGCTGGGCCCCAAGGCTCATGCGTCGTTTTGGTAAAGTTCCCCTCTGTCGCCAAGCATGCTGATCATTTTGTCTTCATTTTGAACTATGATCGCTACACAAGGGCCAAGGGTCAAACCGTCCCCAAAAACAAACAGTCACTCAAAAGAGGCTTCGCTTCATCGGCTTCATGTGGCAGGCTTCATTTACGTCCAAAGTTGACCTGGCAAGCCACCCACGAGTTCTTGTCAAAGAACTGCGGGTATTGATACTGAAGGACCTTCCCGACACCTTTTCAGCATCCACCCCTCTATAAAAGACATTGGATATATGACGGTTGGGGGTTGGGGGCATGCTCCAAAGGAAGTGGGGGAGCCAAATCAGTCGCGATGGATCCAGGCGATGCGCGGGTGCGCCAAAGCAGTAGCCGGGGATCCTGGCGGGCTGTGACCGAATGAATCGCCTCTTAGACCTTTGGGTATGGGGGACCCTCCCGCCCGCCCCCCTCCGAACCCTCACTGAAACAAAAGGTGTTTTTCTAGTTATTTGGCAAATTATTTGGCATCCCATGTAGGTGCAGCAAAATCCCGACCGCTGTGATATATCAATTCTTTGGGGGGGAGGGGGGAGGGGGGGCCCTCTGGCATGAAAATATTGACAAATCATTGAAAACGGGACCCCGAAGTGTTGGGGAAAGGGGTTTGCGGAAATGTGTTCAAAATGAGTTTCGAGGTGAGATGGGGTTCTTCCATGCGAGAGCTATCCTGGAGTTTTTTTGCTTTAGCATGTGGTGCGGCCTACTGACGTGTTGCGCTGCCTGCCTTACAAGGCCGAGATGGCCGATTGGCTTCCTCGTTGGCTCTTCTTCGTTTTCATCCATGTGACTGGCCCTTCCATATCTGGTTTCCCATGGCATTGAAAGCCTAAAGAGCACAAGTGCTCGAAAACTGGACAGGTGGGGAACCCATGGCAGAGATCGGCTAAAGGGCAAAAGTGCTCGAGAACCGGAGGCAGAGATCGGCAGAAGAGCACAAGAAGGCAGTAAGCCTGTCCCTTTAAGAAGTTAGACTCAAGGTGAACAAATTGCACATCTAGTGTTGCGCAGAGGTTGGTTCAGTCAGCTGTCCCTCACGTGCTTCCTTTCGTGCACCCCGTTCTCAAGTAAGGCATGTGGTTTTCGGGAATTCAGGTTCCAGGTGCGGCGTGGGCAATGCGCGTAGCACCTTCCGCCGAGGCACCCGCCCAAAAGCCCAGCGGCACCTGGGCGGTCGACGCAGGGCGTGGCTCTTTTTTTGAAATGACAGATTGGACATTTGTTTGTTCTTTCCAGGGACCTTAAGCAGATGGAGGGGTACCATCTCCTATCCAAGCAGACCAGTCCCATGGAACACTAAGGCAGGGCTTCATTGATTCCGAATCGAAACTGCCGCTTTTCAGGCGGTTTGGTTCCTATGGGTCGTTACAAGGCTGAAGAAAGGGTGTGTGTCAATATAGGGGACCCCCTCACCAAACACTCAGCCTAGGTCCCCGCATTGCAATTTTACATTTTTTTTTGGGAGGCTTCCCCGACTAAAATCGACTACAGAAGAAAGGTGCCTTTATTCTAACCTCTTTACTGGAGGACCTAGCAGTTGTCCGAACCGAATCAACGTTTTGACCTTTGTTTTTTCCTTCACGTTTGGTCAAGCTCCCAAAAGGTTAGACTTGTATTTCCAGGTCCTTGGGCAGATGAGAAATTGGGAGGTGTTTGTCTGGGTTTCCCTTCAAACCAACCTATCTACTGGTTCTCAAAGTCAAAGTTTCCACTGAGGCGAAAAGAAACCTGCAGCACCTTTAACTGATTTTCCTGATCACGAGATTGCACCTTCAAAACTCTGGTGCGTGTTGCTTGGATGTTAGGACTTTAACTTTTTGCCAACTAATGGGTTTTCCATTAAGCCACTAAAAGTTAAACTTTTAGCAGGGGAGCAGAAAGCAACCGAGAAAAGTTGTAAGCTCCTGATGGTTTCTTTTCTAACTACCACTTATGGAGGTTCCACAAAGGGAATTGGAGGAACCCCTGTTGAACTAGAAAATGCCCAGGCGAAGAGCAGATCAAAGCTTCTATGGCGTTTTTTTTTTTTTTTGTGTGTGTTTTTGCGGCTCGGGCAGCCCAAGCGCGCTTGAACCTCCCCCGCGCTCTTCAACATGGAGCTGCGGAATCCCTAAGGGGTGGTGTTGCAAGGGGGCCCCCCAATAAGACACCCTAAGAACTCTAGGGAACCCTAGGGAACCCTAAGCCCGAAACGTACCCAGCCCCTTTGTAACTACATACCCCACTTCAAGATTTGATAATGGAGTTGGGTGGGGGGGTTGCCCCCTTGCATGTCCACTTATGGCGGGTTCGCTGCCCGGGTGATGAAGACTAGTTAAATGGATTTTGCGAATGGAGGGGCATTTTTTGATTTTTCCTGTTTTTTTGGAATTTGTTTCGCTTTTGGCTTCTTGGCTTTTGGCTTTGGCTTTTCGCATCCTCTGCATTTGCAGTTCCTCTGTGGCAGGTGGCGTTTTGCCTTTTTCGGCTTTTCGCTGGTCTATGCGGCTTTTGGTGCCTTTGGTTTTTCGCATTTTGGCTTTTGCATTACCCCCGCTACTTTTTAGTTTTTTGGCGGAGGTTTAATTGCACCCCTATTTGAATCATCACTTTTTGAACATTCAATTTCGCGAGAAAATGCTCAACATACAACATTTTATGTAATCTAATGTATGTATGTGTGTCTGTATGTATGCACTTCTTCGAACATCATAGGGGGAGTCACCCCCGCCCGATTCTTTTTACTATCGCACCCTTTCTTGAATCATTGCACCCCTGATTGAATCATCACCTTTTCGAACGTCATGGAGGGGGGCTGCCGCCCCCACCCAACCCCCCCGCTTGTTTTTAGATTTTTTTGCACTATTTGGATCATCACTTCTTCGACAGTCATTGGGGGGGCTGCCGCCCCCCCAAAACCCCCCACTATTTTTTTGCATTATTCGAATCATCACTTCTTCGAACATCATGGCACCGGCTGCCGCCTCCCCCCCCTCCACCCTCCTGCTACTTTTTAGTTTTTGTCTTTTTCTTTTTTTGTTTAACAGGGATTGAATTGCATCATCATTTTTTCGACCCCGTCAACCGCCCGCTACTTTTATAGTTTGTTTTACCCACAAATTGTTGGTGATGCTGGGGATGTTGGTTGGACATGCGGGGGAAAACGATGCTGGGAAAGTTGTCGGTCTAGTGTAAAATACGTTAATTTCGCGAGACAGTGCTGTAAAATACGACATGTTGCTGGCCAAGACGATAAACGAAAAAATAAGGTGTTTTTTTTAAGCGCACAAATCTGCACCCTTTGCGAATACCGCGAGAGCCCGTCCGCAACGGGGAATCTTGAAATGCAATCCATGGATGACCGACCCACTTAGTAAAGTAGTAACTCACTCAGTGTACGTAGGCCTGCTGCAGTCTTTTCCAAGTATCCTGCTTCAAATGCTGGAGGCTCTTGGGTTCAACTTTGCAAGCGAGGAGGCTTGTCAGATTCTGCGCGGGAGCCCTTTCTCTTTGGCAGGAGGTCGCCCCCATCCACGTGAGGAGCATTTGCACAACAATGGTAGGTGTGCCGAAGGGTCCAAGTAACCAGCGTCCAAACCTCGCATCTGTTTTTTGGACCCATTTCGATCTCCAGGTGTCCGACAAACCGTCGCAGTGTAATCATCGGGCCGGGTTTTTCAACGGGGCTCACTTGTCCAAAGCGAATCGACATGAAATAGGTTTCGCCTTTTCGGTCCCCTTTTCGTCAGTCCAATTTGGGCAAGTGAGACAAAACCAGACCATTCTGGCATCCAAGGCCCTTGCCAAACTTGAACGTGCCGGCGGAGGCTGAGGCCAGGGACGGAGGGACGGCCGAACTTCTTGAGGCTTGACGCGCCTCCCCAGGACACACCGTTAATGTTGACTCCATACTGTGGCTGAACGAAATCCATTTCGCACCACCTAAGAAACCATGGTTGAGAAGGGGATCATCACTCCAGGGTTCCTTAGCTGGTGCAGGATTTCGCCCATCCACAGTATTCACTGTATTAACCAACCCTAGTGTATGAATGGGGGGTGTGATTGGGCTTAGCGGGGCGTCAGACCACTTTTGGCGGGGAACACCCAAAATTCAACCACCCATCCTCCACTTCAATTGCGAGGGTATTACAAGGCCCACCCAAGCGCGCAAAGGCTGAACGCGGCTGGTTTGTGTGATCAAACCGGCACAGAGAGACTTTTTGGGAAACAACGAGCTTTGCCCTTTCAGCTAGGAAAGGTCTATCGAGCAATAGCTCGTTCATGCGAATGGACCTTCTTAGTTTCCCTGAGCCAGGAGCTTATCCCTTGATCCATTTTGAGCAAAGGTTCCAAACTTCTGCCTGACCCTTTGAAAAACGGGTCAATGACCATTATTTTGGGTAATGACCCCATTTTCCAAGGGTCATGGAGACTCCAGGTGGGTCCTTTCCTTCTGGCCCCTTTTTGGGAAAATGAGTCAAGGACCTCGCTCCTTGCCCCTCAGTTTCGCCGTCGTTGTGTTTGCCGCGCCTCGTGTCTTCTGCGCGCGAAAACGGGAAAAAACGACCGCAGGAGGCGCTCTGGAGATCCCGGTGCTCCATCGTGGGCCTCATCGTGGTGGAGCTGCTGCCACTCGGAGCCGATGAGCTGATGCCGCCCGAGGGATCGCCAGTGGCGATCGCTTTTTTACCACGCACTTTACCCCAAAAACCAGCAACAGCGACTGAAAAAGGCGATCGCAACTTGGATATTTAGGGCGTCTGTTTTTGTTTGTCCTTTTAGTATGTTGCTTGGTAGAAGGGTCGAGGGCAGGACAAAAAGTTAAATCCCATCATGTTTTAAGGCGGGAACAAGAGGCAACTCGGAGGTTGTGTTGTTGTTGTCGCCTTTTTTAAGCGAGTGATTGGTAGGGAAAACGGGTAAGAAGAACGGGTAGGGTCCCTGAAAGTGATGGCATTCAGAGAGGGGCATTGAGCAGCTTGCTTATGTCCAATCAAGTTTGTAGGAAATAAACACCTATGCTCAATTGTGAAGTTGTTTTTCCCCCGGAAGGCGGAGGTTTGTCCGAAACCCGGGTTAACCTTCGAGCTGAGCCAAGCCGAGAAAAGTGGCCCAGCTCATATATTTGTTCAGCGGAAATTCCTGGAAATGTCCGGAGCCCTCGCTGAACTGAAGGCTGCCCCACCCCATCGCCTTTCTGGGCAGAGCTGCCCATAGCCCATGTAGACAGAAATTGAAGGTGATCACCTTTTTGGGGCCACATGGCCATGGACCCCCAGAACTCACCTGAGATCCCCATCCATCTGCGGATAAGCTTCCGAAAAAGAATAAGCATGTCTAGCCAGGAAGTCATGTTGGAGACCAAGTGCTTGGTTCGATCAGGGAATGAGAAGGAATGAACCCATCAAATCGACGGTCATCGTCCCTACGCGCATCGCCCCCACCTGAGCCATGGTCGAACTTACTTGTCTTCTAGAGGGCAAGTATGGTATTTCGCGAGTCACCGGATTTGGTGAGAAATTTCGGGCTCATCCCTCATGTCCCTTTCAAAGAGACCAACCTTCCATTTGCCTAACTCCCCTGGACAAAAAATAAATATAAATCAAGCAAAACATCCAGTAGTGATAGGCGATAGGGCCCAGATAGGTTGAGATGATTCGGAGCAGCTTTCCGGGAGGGCTCGGCAGGGTTCCGGGGGCTGTTGGGGATGTCAGCTGGGCCCATGTTCGCATATATGATATATATATATAGTATATTAAAGATACGCAAATATACATGTGTTATGCATACACATGGGATGTTCATTCATGGAAGTGGCACCCGTCACCCAGGCGAATCTCGGTGGCCTCTTGGCAATGACTCTGAGGGCTCCAAAGGGTTTTTGCCCCAAGTCAATACGGGTCTGCGCGCGCGCGCGCGTGTGTGTGTGTGTGTGTGTGTGTGTGTGTGTGTGTGGGCTCACTCGCGTTTTGTTCATGGACTTACTCACTTTTTTGGTTTGGACCGGACCCTTCATTTGAGTGGCAAACAGAAAGTCTGGACATTTGTGGCCAATCCACTCAGGAAGTGAGTGTGTGTGTGTGGAGTTGGTGGTTTGGGATTGGATTTGAACCCCAGTTCCTCTAGAGAGTGGGGAACCGCCCAACCTCCACACCTCCAAGCCACCGATTCAGCTCCAAACCGCCAACAACGAGGCAAGCTGAAAGGCCACCTTTTCCCTTTGGCACTTGGGCCTTTGGTTGGCATGTCCTTGCTTTAGGGGAGGGGTCCTGGGCCGGGTTGAAAGGAAACTTTGCACAAAGGTGTCGGGGTCTGGGAACGTTACCTGTGGGCCAAATCAAGGCTAAAATAATCTAGCTGTACCCTCCCCATCTCTTCAGGGATCCTTCTCTTCAAAAGATGGGCAAAACCCCTGGAAAATAGGTGGTTTCTTTTGAGAACGATGGGTGAAGAGAATGCGGAATCAAACCTTGGTGAATGTGAAGGGGAGCAGTGGGAGCCTTGTTCGTACCAGTCGGGAGGTGGCTTATCCGAGTATTCATGGGGTTTCATCCATCCCCACTGGTGTCACGGTTTTGGCCATCCACAGCACTAAGGGTTTGCTTAGGACTGTGAACTTGGCTGTTGAGTTGGCATTTGTTCAACTTTTTGTTGGGTGAACAGTTGCACTTTGTTTCACAGTCAAGGCTCAAACAGCTTATTGTGGCCGGAAGGCTGCTTTCTCTCCTGTGGGGTGTAGCCAAACCACGTGTTGGAAAAAATAGGGGAACGGAGCAGTTTGAACGTTCGTGCCGTGCTGCTGGCTTATAGGGCAGTGGCATGGGAGTTGTGCAACTGTCCCTCCTGAAAATGTGAAACAAACGCTTGAGCAGCTGTTTGGCAAAACCAGCAGTCTATGGTTTGAACATTCCCCTCGCAGGGGGCTCCGGCTTTGAGTTGCCACTTTTGGGCTCATCTTGGTAGCTTGCTGAGGTGGGTGTGCCTCAAAATTCGTCGGTCGCCTTTCTGTCGTTGGCTTCCTTTTGGTGGGTCCCCTTACCATCCAAAAGGGGACTGATTCCCATTCTGAAAAGCACCCCTATTTGTAATGCCTGTAGGTCAGTGACGTTTCTCTGGCGAGCTTGGTCGTTCTTTCTTGGCCGGTGTCATTTTCTTCCGGTAAGCCTTGCTGCCTCAAGTTCCCGCGCTTCACAGGAAGCGATTATTCTTGGATTGGTGAACTCGTGTCTTTCGTTCCACCTTGTTGGTCTGGGGACGTTGGTTTTGGTGGTGGGTTTGCTTGGCTGTTTGCATTTGAGCAGCGCCCCAAACTCAAGTCTAACTAGACCCTTGGGAGGCAGTTTTGTATTTGGGGGGGGAATCCCTTCTCAAGTGACGCAGTAGCCATTGGGATTGGAATCGGCCACACTTTAGGAAGTCATGGAAAGAGGCCGAGTTTTCCCACATTCGTTTTGATTCGGAGGGCATGTTTGGACAGATGCTCCGTCGCACCCTTTTCTCTTTTCCTTGCCTCCCAAAAAAAGGAGTTGTGCGAAAAAAGGGTCCCTCCCTCTCTCTTCTTCCATTTGCTTAAGAATATTGTTAATTTTCCCTGTTGGTTTTAACAGGAATTTCGCACTACTGGACATTATTTTCATTTTTTCCATTGGTCTCATCCAAATGGACATCTTTTCCACCTGCCGTCAGCCAACCCACGCACCGGGAAAAAAAGGAAGAAAACAACGCGGAGGTGCACGTCTTCCCCTCCCCGGGCGGCCTGGAGTACACCTGCCAGATGCTGAGCTCTGCGGCCAACTCCATCGCAGCGCTGGGCGCGACGCCGGTCTTCGCCGCGCAGGGCCTAGGCGCACCACCGTTCAGACACCCTGGTTTCTGATTCGATTCCCCGACGTAAACGCCATGGTTTCAAACATCGTTGCATGGGTGGTGCGAAATGGGTTTCGTCCAGTATGAACAAGGGCGCTTTCAGTTGATCCGGAGTTGGTTTGGATTGGAGAAAATAGGCCAAACCTCCCAAACCTCCCAAACCTCCCAAACCTCCCAAACCTCCCAAACCTCCCAAACCTCCCAAACCTCCCAAACCTCCCAAACCTCCCAAACCTCCCAAACCTCCCAAACCTCCCAAACCACAAATCCAAACCACACGCGGACTCAGAGGCCTTTGGTTTTGCAATTTGAGGAGCGCCTTCGGCAAAGGGCCGCTGCTTCATGTTCTTGAGGAAGCCACGCACACTCAAGGACGCAACCCCAACACTGTACATTACAGTAGATGCGAGGGCTCCATAGGGCTCCCCTTGCTTGAAATGGAAAGAATCCGCATCCACCGTTTCAAGGGAGAACCTCCAATGAGCAAAACCACCCCAAAAGTTTGTTTTTCTCGAGCACCTACCGACCAGGGAAACAGCCAGAAAAATCGGTGCGGATATCCGCCCTCTTCAATATTTTACATAGGAGCTTGTTCTGGCTAGATCAGCAGGTTTCTTATTCGTGTAAGCGAACATTGTGTCTTTGAATTAGGGAAGCACGACCCTCGATTTTTCTCACATACCTTGGACACTTTTAAACCACTTCGTTCCCCAATATTCCCTCCAAGCTGAAATAAACGTACATATCCTCGCATACTTGTGAAAGCTGGTAAACACCCTTGTTTCCGCTGGGTTTCCTCCATTTCCTTTTTTGGAACCTCCACAAGTGGCAGAGTCAATGACCACCACCAGTACATGGATCAACGGACCCGTGCCCAGAGCCAGGCGTCTGCGTGAACCGCCGGTGCTTAGGGTCCTTGCTGACGCTGATCTTGACCTCCGCCACCTGCACCTGGGGGGCGTTGGTCATCGCGCTCTTTCCAGGCGAAGCGGCGAGGGGGGGGGGTGGGGAAGGGGTTGGGGGGGGGGGGGTTGTTGGGGAAGGGGTTGGGGAAGGGGTTGGGGGTTGGGGGGGGGGGAAGCCAGCGCCCAGGTACCCCAACAATTGGTGCCCGCTCTTTCACCCCTTTTTTGGGTGGGGTTTTGGGTTCCCCTACTAAAATAGACAAACGAGAAAAAAGTTGGTACCCTCATTCTAACCTCTCTACTGAAGAACCTAGTTTCTGTACTTGGGTTTCTTTTTGACCTGGTTGAAGAAGCAGGCAAGTCGGGGGGGTATCGGTGGTTGTCCTTTTGGTTCAAGAAAACCTACAAGGGTATCCAAAACAACACATACCTACGGTGGATGGGACGCACTCCTGCACCACCTCAGGAACCTGGAATTATTTATTTTCCCGTAAATACCAACAAACAATGGGTTCCAATGATTTCAAAGTCGTGCAGAAATTCGTCCATCCACAGTATGGCTCTGACTTCTCGAATCGGCCACCGATCCAAAAGTGGTTGGTTGAAGGCCTGCCAGATTTCCAGCCCGAGCCGGGATCATACGCCCGGAATCTGCGGTTTGGGCGCGGAGAATTTGTGGAACCCCTGCAGAAAATAATAAGAGTATCCACAGATTACTAGAAAAGGACCAACAAGGGGAAGAACAGGTGAAGTGTAGAAAACACGTCATCCAAACCGTTTTCTAGACGGAAGGCAAGGGCCTTGGGCTTTGTTGTGTGTTGGTTGTTGGTTCTTTTCGTTTAAGTGGCAGGCTTGGGCTAATGTAGGGATGGAAGGTCGACTCAAATCCATTCAGCACGATCAAATGGGAATGGGTGTGTTTGCGGGATAAGCAGGGCGGCCAGGCAAAAAGTCCTTCCAGCACCCTCGAACCACTGCTTGTCGGTTTCCGCACTTGGGATGTTTGACATGGTTGGAAAAAGCAGGCAAGTTGGGGGGGGGAGACTGGTTGTGTTTTTGGATTTTCTCTCAGGTCGAGAACAGATCCAAGGGTCAGTTGAGCTCCCTTAGCCTGGGGCTTGCGTGCGTTTCGGGGATCCTTCGTCCCACTGCGTGCTTTTTGCATGGAGGCCCGGTCGTATCAACCACACCAATGTAATCCGTCAGGTGGCTGGTTTGGATTGGGTCCCATGGAACGCGACTGAGGGATCCCGGAAGATGATTTTTCCGGTGCAGGGTATCTGGGCAGGGACCCCAAAGCTTTCCAGGTGCGGCGACCCTAGTGAGATGAATTTCCCCTGCAACCCTGTGCCAGGTGGCGTGCTACAGCGCCTTTGGGAAAAGGAGCTGTGAGCGGGTGAGCGGGGTGGATGTCAAATCAGGGATTTTGGCCTCTCAAACAAAATGTTCACCCAGCCAGTGGGCGCACTTTGCGTTTTTTTTTTGCCTTGGTGGCTCTCCCTTTAGCTTGGTGGCCCAAAAAGTGTGGCACCTTTTTTTTTTTGACTGGCCACTGGCCAAGCGAGAAAAACCATCCCCCAATAGATGCCTCAGAGAAAGCCTCGGAAAAAAATGCTGCCGATCGGAGTCCTGTTACCCTGCCGGGCCTCTGAAGACTTCAGACCGACGGTGAAAACGGAGCCTTCCATTACTCCGAGGCTTGCGGGTCAACTTAAAGATTTGTTGTTTTGCCGGGCGTCAATCGTTCTGCCCGTTCTTATGGATGAGCCTGATTTTTCCCGGGTTGGCGAAAAGGCTCCTTGAGGCATGGCAAAACACCTAGGTCCTCCAGTCGTGCCCTTCTCTCTCCTTTTTTTTTTTGGCGTTTTGGGTTCCCCTACTAAAATCGACAAAAAAACAAAAACAACAATAATAAGTTGGTGGCCTTATTCTAACCTCTCTACTGGAGGACCTAGTTTCCGTACGGTTTTTCTTTGACCTGGTTGAAAAATCATCAAACACAACACACCTATATAGGCTAAGCACTGAAAATTGCCTCCACGAGTCGGAGGGTTCACATCGCTGTCGTCGATAGGAGCTGCTGGACGAAGGGGCGCCCCAAGTCTTGGCCTTCGCCGGGGTTTGGAACTGCCTCATGCGCCGCCGGCTCGCGGAGAGTTGTTTGTTTTGTTTTTTTTATTCGGTGGTGTCTTCGGTGTTCTTTTTTGGATGGTTTCTTCGGTTGTTTTTTTGTGTTTTTTTGTTTTTTGTTTTGGGTCTTTCTTAGAACCCGTTTTTGGTTTCTCCTTTTTTGTGTTTATCGTAACTTGTTTTTGTTTCTCGTTTGTTGTTGGTCTTTCTTGGAACCCGTTTTTTGTTTCTCCCTTGTTTTTCTTTCTCGGAGCCCGTTGTTGCTTCTTGTTGTTTGTCTTTTTCGAAGAAGCCCTAGTCTGGTTACCCTCATCAGTTCTCCTCGGAAGTCTAAGGAACCCAAAGGAAACCTAAAGGAACTGCAGGGAAAGTCGCGAGAAGTCGGGGAACTCCAAGGAACCCGAACCAACCCTGAAAAGCCCTAAGGAGCATTGGGTATTGTTTGTTGGAGTTAGGGAACCCTAACAAAATCCTACTCCTAAGGAACCCTGATTTGTTTCTTCTTGTTTCTTTCGGAGCATTTGTGGAGCCACAAGGGAACCGCACGTGCCACAATCAAAGCCTGCTGAAGGTGAAGCTTACTTGGAAAGGGACGGTCCCAGCTACAGCTAGAGCTGCTGTGGTTGGCTGCGAAATCCGCTACTTCCATTTGATTTGTGATTTTCCTTTGTTGGTTTTAAAAGCATTTGTTCATTACTGGATTGTTTTTCTCCAGAGGTCTTAGCCAAATGGAAGGCTAAATCGCACCATATCGCACCACTGACATGAAGCCACGGGTTGAAAACAGAGCGTTTGTTGGTATTTACATGGGGGAGTCGATTCATTCAAGGGTTTCGGAGGTGGTGCGAAATGAATTTTGCCAATCTACACTAGGTCTCCGATTTGATCCTTCCCATGTTGATGGACTTGAGTCACTTGGGAAGGCCACAGTGGCTTGGACAACATATTTGGTTACTTGGGTTGGCCAGCCTGCTTGGGAAAAAAGCTTCAATAATATGTTTTGTTGCTCTTTGTCTGTTTGTTTGACTGGGAATGTATCACTGCTGGATTTGTCTTACCTTTTCAGGGGACTTGGGCAAACGGATGTTGGGATGTCTCTGTTTGGGGCGCCACCTTTTAGATTAAAGGGACTTCTTGGAGCTTCCCTACTCGCCCTACTTTGAGACACGCCTACATTTCACATGCTTGTGCTACTAAACAAGGTGCGTTTCCCTCGCAGGGGTGATGTGTCTAGGGGAATTACAGGGACAAAATCCATGCCATGCACATGTTGGCATGCGGCATGCATCTCTCCTGCCAAATGATGCTACATTTCAGGGGTGAGAAAATACCAAGCAGAACATATGTCTTGTGCTTTTCCCTGGAGTTGGGCAAAGGCATGAAACCTTCTGAATTCTTGAACAGATCACCTACCAATCGGGGCAGGTGGGACAAGAGGACCAATGGAGGAGAGGAGAAGGATGAAGACTCGTATGGTCTTTGTTTAGCGAACCCCCCCGACCAAAGAGGTGGTTGTCATTTGTTTGTTGTTTTCTTTAAAGAACGAGGCGCCCGAATCCGCAGCTTCTGGGAATGGCTTCTTTGTTACCCGACTTTGAAGCCGCATTCTCCCTGCCAACTGGCGCAGGGGGGTTCAATCCCTGCTTCCTCTTGCAACTGGGAAGCTCGCACCTTTCCTTCCATCCCAACCAATCCGCTGACATTTAGATGCACCGGTGGGTTCCGTCAGACGAGTTGCACTCGTTGCTTTGCAACGCTCAGATTTCGGCGGATCGAGAACGAGGCCAATTCCATTTCCCTTGCAGAATATGTTTTGCATTAACTGTTGATCTTTAAGGGATCCATGTCACAACTGGACATGTTCTCCTTTTCCCAGGGCAGGAACACCGCAACTCAGGCAACTCGAAATTGGTGCCTGGTTTAGCTGTTTTTTTTTGTTGAGTTCCTGGTTCTTGCTTTTGGGGTTCAGTTGGGAAAAATCCTCCCTCCATTTCACCGCTTCGGCTTCACCGATTCGGCTCCGGCGAGCTCCTAACGCCAGGCTCTCCTCGGTGTCGCTGCAGTCGGCGCTGTGCGTCTCCGCCTGGGGCTTCTATCGCACCTACCGTCAGCTGGGTCTCTATCCGCCAGCCCTTCGGCCAGCCCGGAGGCTTTTGGAAGATCGTTGGGCTGTGGCTCAAAAAACCGGATTTCCCAAAACGGCTTGCCCTGGTAAGTGGAAACATGGACCAAGACCTGCGGTTTGCCCCTGTTTAATTTTGAGCCACGCCCACTTGGGTTCGGTGGGGGAGGTTCCTTCCAAAAAGGCGAACCCGAAGCGAGAGGGAAGGCCAAGGAACCCGAAGGAATCCCAAGCAAACAAAATCCCGAAGGAACCCGAAAGAACCTGAGACTTTCGACCCGTCTTTCACCTTGGGCGGGGAAGAAAAATCGTTGAAAATGCCTGAGTTGGTTTCATTCTCAAAGCCCGGAGGGTCATACCAGAGCACCAGCAAGTAAAAACGGAGTTGGGGAAGGTGACCCCTGGAGATCTCCATTTGTGGTAAGATAAGTAAATGGAATTGGAGGACCCCCCTCCCTTAAACTTGCTGGTTCCATAGGCAGGAGAACTAAACATGGAATGAGCCCGACAAAAACTAATCCCCTTTTGGTTCCTTTTGGTATTGAATACGGTTCATTACCCGGTTCATTCCGAAACCCGGAGAATCATTCCCTACCTCTCGCACCAAGCACAAATAGAATTGGGGGAGGCAACCCGTGGAAATCTCCATTTATGAAAAGCGAAGGGGAGGAGACTCGCAAAATGGAATTGGAGGACCACCGCAGGGGGGGATCTTCGGATTGTTTGATTTGTTTCTCCAGAGGGTGTCTTCTTTCTTGGTGGTTTAGAAGGGATACCCAGAGGAAAGCCCACATGTGTGGGGGGTGCCCCCACTTCTAAGAGACGCCCACCGTTCGGCCTAGTGGTCAGGTTCAACTCCACTTGCACCGAACACGAGTATCATAAAAGCTTTGGACCTGAAAACGGGTACCTCCAAAGCACACGCACACACACAGACTAAAGCCTTCCTCCAGGCGCCACTTTAAGAGGCACGTTCAGCCTGCCGGCCTTGCTTTTTCATTCAGACGCTGCTCACTCGCTTTTCTCTTGCAAGCTTTGGGATTTTTTTCTGCAAAAGGCATGAGCAGGTGTTTCCCACTTCAAAAAAGCGCCCGGACGTCTTCGCTTTTTTGGTTGAACGTGTTCAACGGGTGCTCCTTCCGCATCCTTCACGGAGCGTTTTTTTTGTCTTTCTCGAAATCTTGCTCAAATCAGGTAACCCTTGGTTAATGGCAACCCCGGATGTGAGTAGAACTTCTGTGTATTACCTATTAACAGGGCAATTTCTGTACTATTCCGGGGTCAACATTGGAGCCCGGTGGCTTGGACACTGTTTTTTTTAACCCCTTCTTAGGTTTGGGCCAAAGAATGACTTAGGGTTTTGTCGGGGTGACGTGGAAACAACTTCGAGTGGAAACGACAGGTTCTTGTGTTTTTTTTGGAAGCTTTGGGCCGAAGAATGCCCTACGGAATTCTGGCAACATGAAAACAACTCGGGGCAGCGGCAAAGCGCTTGGCTCGCCGAGGGCAAGGGCAAAGTGCAGCCAGATGTGTCCCCGCTGGAGTTTGTGTGCGTGGCTTGGCTTAGTTCCGAGCTGGGCCTGGTACACCCTGCAATAGCTCTGGATGTCAGGAGCTTTTCACTTACCTCTTAAAAACATAACTTTTCAACTTTTTGGGTAACATGGGCTATATGTCTGTAAAAGATGAACTTCCCCAGGGCTTGGAGTTTTAAGGGGTAAATTCATCTCAAGATGCATCCCAAGGGGGTGTTGAAGGAGTTATGACGAACGGCCATTGCTTCCCAACCCAACACAAATCGATCTAACAAGGACCATCCCCGCCAGCCAGGAAGTTTACTTCCTCGACGCAAGACTTGGCGTTTTTCTGGGGCCTCCTTCGACCTTCTTGGTGTGTTTAAGATAGGCGCCCCCCCAAAAAAATAATAATAACACACATAAATAAATGTGGTTTTCCTTCTGGTTTGCCTTTAAGACCAGGGTACCCTCAAAATGACGCACTCAGATGCCTGAAGTGTTTGGACCTTTGACTTTGCTCCGGAGCGCTTTTCGGGACCAACTCGCCTTGGTTTCATGTTGTTTGGGAAGAGCGTTGCAGTGGCCAACGCTAAGTTCGAACTGCCTTCAAACCACTCAGGCAGTAGATATGGATTAAAAAGTCACATAAAAATGGAAAAGCTGGACGATTTCGCAGTCGTTTAGCGGCACTTTGAACACGAATCCACCCCAAGAAAAAGACATGGGTGTGTCGTTGAAACCGCCTTTTTGGTTGGAGCCAACAGAAAACAGAAGACTGCGCCAAGAGTCCAATAAGTTCAGGAGAAGGCGCGTTTTTTAGCTTAGTTTGGTTCGAAATCGATGAGTTTCACTGGTTTTGATGGGTTGCAGGCCCCTATGTTCCAGGCCATCTTTTCTGGCAGCGGTCTTTTGCTCGCCCCTGAACAACTGAAATGGGAGGAACACAGAGACACACACACAGAGGCGTGTTCTGGCTTTTTTCTTGGGCGTGAACCAAGGCAGCGCTTGGAATTTCAAGCCACGCAGGTGAACAGCTTTTTTTGGATGGCAAGCGAAGTAAGCCCCAGGGCCCAGCCCAAGCTATTGGAGAAAGTTAGTTGACCTTACCTCTTAAAAACACCACTTTTCTCAACTTTTTAGGGGTGACATGGGCTATATGGCTGTAAAAGATGAGAACTTCCCCAGGTTGCTTGGAGTTTTAAGGGGTAAGTAACTTGTTGCTTCAACATCAGAATCAGATGCGAGCCAAAGTGGACGAGAACCCAGGGATAGAAGCTGTTGGGAGCCTTTCGTTTGTTTTCCTTTGGCTGGGCCAGCGTTGCCCTTGTGCAAGTCGTGTTTTTTGTTGTTGTTCTTCTTCTTTGTCTTTTTCTTTTTTTGCTCGCAGCACCTCGTTAGCTACCGCGTTGCAAGGGGTATCTTTTGAAAACCGTTCTGTCTATGATATTGGCAAGCCGCACTGCTACACTATTACGTGTTCCTGGTTTCACGTTTCGATCCTTGTGTTTTCTTTTGTTCGCTTGTAGTGGTCCATGCCCCCTGACGAGTTCACAAGAAGATTTAATGTTAACCCCGGATTAATAGACCCTGGTTGATTACTAGGGGTGTCCCCTTTTAGTGGTGATTCATCACTTTTGGAGGGAACACCCCGCTAGTAATGGGACAGGTTTATTTATCCTGGGTCAACATTAGCCTTGTCGGTTGTTCGGTGCCACATCGGTGAGCCATTTTTTTTTGGGCTCCGAAGGTCGCAGAAACGCCCCGCGGAAACCCAAGCTCTGCTTCGGGCCTCCGAAGGTTGACATTGAGCAGAGTGGGACCTGGGACCGGTCCGCTTTTTATATCTCACCTGTCCGGACTGGACACATACCTGAGTTGTTCTGGCCTTTCACACCGCGAACTTCTCCCAAGGTACCATGGATTAGCCCCGGACACCACCCGTGTGCGTTTAGCCATTTCGCGCGTCGCGTTCCCGAAGCCGGCGCCCGCAAGCCGGAGGATTAACTTACGCAGGGCGTCGCTGATTTGAGACACGCCTTTTCTTTCATCGGTTGACACCCCTTTGCGCTTGAGAATGGGGTGGGCGCGATTGCATTGGGAGCGATGCTGTGGCAAAACCGCAGGCGCCCCTTTGCTTCAAAGGCGTCGGAATCCCGTCTAGCAGCAGCGTTAGCGAATTAAAGCTTCAAGCAAGCCCGCGGCTCATTGCTTCGTGGGGCTGACCCTTTATGGTGGTAGCTCGAACCGAACATCGCCCACGGGGGCTTGAAATTCGTCGAAAGGCAACGCGATTGCTTGCGCCGCGTGCATCCTAACAGTCGTAGTGTCTATGAATGACGCGTTTCGGGGCCCTGGCGGGTCCTTTCAACCAACGAACGCTCCCGTGCGTGTATATCGTCTCATGTACTCCTTTAAAGCAGCGTCTCTATGGTTCTTGCCAAGTTCTTGCATCACGCGTTTTCTTCACTTGGGGGCTTTGTTTTCAGCGTTTGCGGCTTGCGTGCCTGCCGCGCGCGCAGTGCTTGGCAAGACGCGCGCCTAGCAACCGCAGTTGCCAAGTATTTTTTGGTGTCCAGGGATGCTCGTACGTTACATGTGCTTCTTTTACATACCCCTGGAAAAACGAACCTAAAAGGCCGGTTGATGTTCATACCCCTCTCCCCAAAAGCGGTATATAGTGGGTTGAAAACCAGGGAAGCCAAGGGGTATGATTCAACCCTTCGATGGTGGGCAGAGGAAGCGGAAGACGTGGCCCTCCTCAGCGACCAATGCCATGGAAACTGGCAGTCCTGCGGGCTGACGACGGTTGAAGGCCCGGCCCAGTTTGGGCACTCCGCGGCCAGGTTTCCGGCTGACGCGCCCCCTTTTCCCTAAGTGAGTGAGCTCACGGGCTAGACGTAGGTCACGGTTTTCGAAACGAAAGCAGGGCAGGGTAGGGTGAAAGAGTGGTGACCCAAGTCTGGCAGGGGTTGGCTTCAATTTTCCTTTTCCACTTGTTGTTCGTCCCTTCCGTCAAATCCAGGCAGTGCTGCTCAGCATGCGAATCGCTGCCTCAACCGGATTGGCCGGTTGATTCAACGTGTCAGTTTTGGTTGGTAGTGTTGGGTTCGGCAAATGTGTTTTGATGGATTTTGTTTTGAGTTCGTCGCTGTCACGCGTGCGGACAGCTCTCTCTTTTCGAGAGCGAGCCGCCTGAGCAGGCAAGCAAGGCTTGTTGCGACATTTGCTCGTTCCTTGACTAGCTGTCCAGGAGACCAGTGTTTTATTTTGGCTATTGGTTTGAGCAACCAAGCCGCATGCACCTTTGAAGCTGCTTTGAGGCGGTTCTAACACTAGTGGGGTAAACGTGATTTAAGCAAAGGGCTGGGCCCAATACCACCCAAAGCTGCAAGCCATCTTTGGATTTGGAGGTCTGTCAACATTTTCATCCAAATCTAGACGGTGCTCGTGTGTTCGCGTGTTTAAGGCCACGCTGTGGATGTTGGCGAAATCCATTTCGCACCACTTCACCACTTTCCAACCTTATCCAGGGGTGCTCTCAAAATCCCTTTCCTTGCGTTGGTTTCCCGGCTAAAAGTGGACTCAACCAACCAACGTTTCAGGTTATTGGGGCTGTTTCAGGTGGCTCGGGAAGTGGAACCAACAACAAACCCACCTTTTTAGAGGGGATCTCTTTTTTGGTGAGTTTTTTGTTGGGCTCCATAGTCAAATTTTGTAGGGGGTTCTTTGGCTCTTCAGGCTCTTCAGGCTTAGAACTCGGGTGAGGAAAGGGCGACCAAATCCCCGACCCCAAATTATACTGGTTTTTTCACCAGGCTTTGCCGTCGAAAGGAGAACTCCAAAGCCATTTCAGATGTCAGGGTAGGCTGAACACACAGCAACATTTGAATATACGTTCTATTCGGCGTAGCCCAGAGTTTCAGGTTTCCTCTTGGTGGTTTATTCTGGTTTGGATTTGCATTTGAGGCCCTCTGTGGTTGAGCTTTCTACCCACCATGAAAGGTTGGTTGGGGGGGCCTTCATGGGCTGTGAAGGAGTGGATCATGGGGGCCTTGCCATTAGAACTTGGGATTTAGTTGGGGTCCTATTTCCAAAATCCGGTGTTTTGTTCCCCCTGGGGCTAGATGTTTTTCATCGTTTTTCTAGGGCTGGGTTGGTTACACCTCTAGGGTTGGTTGGTTGGTTGGTTGGTTGGTTGGTTGGTTGGTTGGTTGGCTGGCTGGCTGGTTGGTTGGTTGGTTGGTTGGTTGGTTGTGGTTGGTTGGTTGCACCTCTAGGGTTTTCATTTTTTTTCCCCCTAGGGTTGGTTACACCTCTACCCCCAGTCAAGATGGCCTCGTTCCATCTCGTTCCGAGGCTTGGAATCCCAGGCTCCAGCGCCGACCCCGGCCCCGGCGCCAAGGGCGGAGGCTCAGCGCCGGCTGCATGAGGATGCGGCCTGGCGAGCGCTTCAGGCTTGTGGGATTTTTGCGGGGTTTGTCCAAATCCTGTGATACTTTTGGGAATCTCTTCTTTAGGAAGGGGGATGAGTCTTATTGGTCTTTGGGGTTAGGCCCTTTTTGTTGTATCACAGAAGTGGTCATTTCCCTAAACATGGTCGCCGAGACGAGATGGGCGAGCGTCAATTGCGCTAGTCACACACACAGACACCCTCTACTAAGACGGCACCTGACACTCCAGTAGGGAAGCTGATCTTCCAGGTGGTTTCCTGCAGGTGTCATATTAATGGGAGCAAGGGCAGCCACCATGTTTGGTTGAAACTGGTTACCCTCCTTCGTTGGCATGGCAGAGGATGCCTTGAGGCCATTGTAAGCGTTGTTTCTTTTTTTTCACTGCGCTTGCAAAAGGAGTAGTTGGAGTTCAAGCAACTTAGTAGGTCATAGCCACGGTTACAACTTGAGTGACAGTTTGGTACCCTTAGCATTAAAATAACCATGGCATAACCTGATTATTATGTGAGTTGAACAGGTTTTGCCACGCAGCTCGGACTTTTTGCCAAACCCCCGACCCCCCGGCTGAGGACGTTCCATTCCCCAGCTCCTGAGAGCGTGTCAGCAACTTCGCGGAAGGCTTGCCCCAGTTGCTCAGCGGATGGGCTGCTGGAGACATCTGGGTCAAACTAGAAGCCACCAGGATATGGATCTTTTTGGTGTTAGTCCACGTCTCCATTTACCAGGGCAAATCCCATTTCGGGGAAAAAACATTTTTTGACACCCAAAGCCATTTCTTGTTTGTTGCGCTCCCCACTTGACAACAATTGCGAACAAAATGTCACAGGGAAACCAACTAGCAGGGAAACAGGGGGAAGCAGGGATGCGGGGGAGAATTCCCCCTAAATGCACCTTGACTAAGTTTGATACTGTGGATGGACGAATTCCTGCACCATATAAGAAGCCCTGGAATGCGCATTTCCCTGTAGATACCAATGGTTTCCCATGGTTTCAAAGTGGTGCAGGATTCTGTCCATCCACAGTATGGGAAATGGCGCCAAGGGAATTCCCCCATATCTCCGCTCCCTCCGTATCCCCGCTTTTTCGTTTGTCCAAAACTCTCCATTTGTTTGGGAATGTGGACGGAGTAATCACGCCCATGACCGCGAAGGGCTCCAGCGTTTTCACTGGGCAACTGGGTGTGCGTTCTTTGCCACGCCTGAGCGAAACTGTGCGTCGGCAACGCGCATGAGCCACGCGCATAAAGAAATTCCAGGTGAGTGCCTGGGGGGCTCAGCTTTTAGACCCTTGTGCCCGTTGATGGACAAAGCCGAAACCCGGAATTTGCTTTTCTCACTTCCAGAGTTCCGTTTCGGACTTTCGTCACTTTTTGGGCTTGGACCATTTGAGCGGTAAATAAACATTTTGGTTTCTTTTCTCAGCCAGTCCACTCAGGAAGTGAGGCCCAAAGCAAATCGATCTTTTGTTTTTTTTGGTTTTTGGGATATCTTGTGTCAAGGTTCCAAAAGGCAAGGCTGTTACGTCCAGGTCCTTTGGGCAAGCGAGTAGAACCAAAGAAGCCCGGGTTTTGGGCAAATGATACATGCCCTTTGCCGAAATTTGCTGCAACAGACACATACCTAGGAGAGAGACATGGAAACCATGAAATTCCTTGAAGAGTGGTGGTTCAAATATGTGTTTTTTTAAAGGGTGCCCCTTTGGGGTGATGTTAAAGGGAAACCAAAAGGAAACCCAAATCCATTTTGGGGTCCGCCCGAAAAAGACGAGCCACCCAATATGTTGAAAAGAGTTGACAATCAGATATGCGCATCTGGAAGTCCAGAAGCAAAAACACCTTGCGGCCAAAGGCCATGGGGTGGCATGGCAGCCTTTCTCAGTCAGCTGGGCCAGAAATGCTTCAGGCAGCACGGTGTCGTTCAATGCCCCCCTGGTCCACATGGAATTGTTGCTTCCTGGTGATTTCTGTTTCGGACTTCCGTCACTTTTTGGGCTTGGACCATGTTGGTTGGAAGTGAAGGTTACTCTTTCTTTGCCAGTCCACTCAGTTCACTCGATGGGAAGTGAGGTAAACATGGAACCCCATCTTGTTAAGGTCCCGGGAATTCCTCGAATGCTGTTTTTGGAGCCCGTGATGTGGAGGCTACAGTATGAAGTAGGTAAGTTGAGCACGCGATATCTTACCATGCGTTGTGTCTACCTGAAAACGGTCACTGTGGAAGATTGCCGTGATATGCTTTGTTTCCCAGTGGCTTTGCATTCGGGAAATTATTCTCGTGGTGTGACCCACGGGCACGACAACCTTGCTCGCTGCGAGCTGCTCATCCGTTCTAGGGGAGGGGGTTCTGGTGTGTGTGGGCAAAACCGAAAAATCCAGCAGACTCAATTTTGCTTGCCCTTTTTTTCTGAGAAGGCCAGCCGCAGAAAAATCAAAACGCATCGGATGTGGCTGAAAAGCGGCCCATCCATGGCGAAGCGCAAAGATGTGAGCCTAGAGCAGGGCTCCGGGGAATCCAAAAACCACGAAAGATACCAACGAAATCGGCTGCCAAAACCCCCCAATGGCTGGCAAGTAACCCCAAAACAGCCATTGCCAGGTCATTCCACAGACCATTTGCCAGCCATTGGGAGGTCCTGCTGGAGGTGTTTTTGTTCAACTGCCCCAAGTTTATCCTCCAAGAAAGTCTGTAGAAAGGAGGCGAAACCTAGCGCGGTTCCTCACAAAATCCTGCAAGACCGGGTCCCTTTGTTTCTTGTTGTTTGGAAACCTTTAAAAAATAACCGGCATAATGTGTTCGGCAGTAAGGATGCTTTTATGCCCGAATGTACGCTCGCAAGGCGGTCCGTGACCTTTATTTCAGTGGCTGCGGCATAGAAGAACCAACAAACAACTAGTATCCATGCGGTCCTTGATCAATGGCCATTCGGTCATTGCAGGCAAATTGCGATTTGGGCCAATCAAAGTGAACCATTTTGTTGTTCTCCGAAGCCTTCTTGCATGCGGAAGTTGTTTCTCACCATTGAAAGTACGCAAGTGCTCAAAGGCAATCTAGCTAGCTTCCTTTTTTTTTTGGGGGGGGGTATGGCAGTGTTCAAAAAATATGTGACCCTCAAAGGTTTGTGTTGTCGGACTTCCTTTGGCCATCCATTTCTCCTCATGTTTCAAAAAGGGCCAAGCAAAGGGCCAAGCATGTCAGGAATTTGGTTTAGCAAACAGCCGAAGGCACGGTGATGTATTGCAATGGTTGCGACAAGTGGACGTAAGCCTCTCAGCCCCTTTTTGCGTGGCTTCCCCACTGAAAACTTCCACTTGCTTAAGAATATTCATTGTTTGCCCTTGCCGGTTGTAAAGGGAAACTACAACTACTGGAATTATGCTTTTTCCAGGGGGGTTCAGCAAATACCCGGGTAAGTGAAGGTTAGTAAGGGACGATCCCAGCCATAAATAGCTGTAGCCGCCTTCTTAGTTCTTTACAGGGTTCTGGGTCGACCATTTTCGTACCGGGTTTTGAGCAAGTGACTCAAATGAATGAAGATAGTCAACATGAGTCAAGCCCAACAGAACGGGTCTTCCCTTTTTCTACCTTTCAGGTTTTTGAGGCAATTGGGAACTGAGCCACTTAGGGCCACATACGGCTGCTCTTTTGCCCCCCCCCCCCCCAAAGAAACACGCAAAAAGAAAACGCATGCTCAATTTTTGGCTGGTATTAGCCCCAAAAAGAGAAAACAATGCCAACAAAAATAAAATCGGTGGAGTTTCGTGTTCCCCAAAGTTGGAGGTGAGTTTAGGGGACCCCAACGTCACAGCGCGAGGGACTCGAATCGGCCATCCCCGATCCTCGGATTTCCGGCGGCTTCTTGGCTCGAAAATTCAGCTGCAGAGGGCCCAGCTGCTCGCCTGGGGCCAAGTGTGCTGCGTGTCTTTGGGGTCTCGTTCGGCATGAAATTTTCATTGGGTGGTAAAAAAAAAACAAAATCAACGTTTGGCTTTCGTTCTTGCTCGTTCCTTTAGCCTAGTACTAGTGCTTGCTGTTGTTGTTAGTTGCGTGACGTTTGTTGACAGCTGTTGTTTGTTGGTTGTTTGTTCGTTTGTTTGTTTGTGGGTTTGTTTGCGCACCCCACTTGAGGTGTGCTTCACTTGGCTGTATTTGGCGGATTTAGATGAAATCTGGCAGGCGAATGCGCCAGATTTAATCTAAATCCGCGAACTGGCCAGTTGAAGGAAGTCAAAGGGAACCATTTTGGGTCGGGTTTTCCTTTTAAGGCACCCTTTTTGAGGCGCTTGTCCAAGCTTGCTGTGTTAGACTTGGTGGTTCCCGGCCGTCCGGTTCCTTAGGTGTTTTATGTGATTTTCGTTGGTTTAGCAGGGCTCCTTAAAAGAAATTCATTTTGCAACCATTTGAGTTGCATGTTGCTTTTTCCACCAAAATAAAGTTGGACACCACCATTTACAAGTTGCAATGTTCAGGTGTATAATGCATCCGGATCCCTGTTCAGTGGTTGGGTGTCCATTTCACCGGCGAAAAGTGGAGCTTTTGGCAGATCTGGGGACAGCCCAGCAAAATGACAGAATAATGTTTGTATGTTGGGCAAGCTACGATAATTAGTATTGCCAGATTAGCTTTTCTAGCTCAAACATGTGTTTTCATGTTTGTTGATTTTTGGGAAATCTCTTGAAACCGTTGCATGGGGTTCTGGAGGGTATAGGAGGGGTCATCTGCAAAACCTTGTGGGTGGCTTCTAGAGTAGTGTTGACTGACAGTGGTTAATCTCGGAAGGAATGCTAAGGGGATGATGACACTCAAGTTCCTCTTGAAGGGACACCTTGATTGTAGAGGGTACCCCATTCAAAAAGATGTCCGCGCATGTCTGGTCGCTGGTTTTGATAAACAACCTTGCGCGCAGCAACCCTGAAAGCAGATCCGGTGAAGCATAAACCCTTACCAAGACTCTACTGTGGATGGACGAAATCCATTTCGCACCACTTTGAAACCATAGACACATCGGCGTCCTTTTTGGCTGAAAAATGGCAGAAAACTCGGTGGCGATTCCTGGTTTACCTGGTGGTTCAATCCATCATCTATTTTCCCAAAAAGGACACCTATGGTTGGAACCACCTATGGTTGGAACCACCTATGGTTGGAACCACCTATGGTTGGAACCACCTATGGTTGGAACCACCTATGCTTGGTGCACACGGATCCCCGAAGTTCGATGGCCTTTTCCCCCCCGTACTTGGAGACCTACGCATGGACCACCATGGGCTCTGGTGGCCTGCGTGGCTCGCTTCTCACGCGCCTGACGCGCACTCAGGGCCTGAGCAGCCGGCAAAGGCCGAGCCTTGGGGAGTGGCCGGACGCGGCTTCTCCGCCTTCGGGTCAGATGGCGGAAGGGTTTCTGAATCAGATAATTCATCGGATTTTGCAAGTTTAGCGCTGATGATTCGCTACATGAAGAGGTCGCTGCGACCGATGGCTGTGGTTGTCAACACGGGTTTTTGGGATCCGTGGGTCTGAGAGTTGTGGGTCTGTGGGTCTGTGCTGTTCCTTTTTTAGCCCCTCCAAAACTGGCTGTGGGTCAATGGGATCCCATTTTGGTTGGTAGGTGAATTCACCACCCAGTTGAGGCTTTATTTTAGTGGTTGGATTGGGATGTTCACTGGGGGTACGGGATTTTTGGATTTTGATTCCGGTCATGTGTGCCTCGCCCGGTTTCTCCAACAGCGACATAGCGACATCTATGGGGTCGCATCCACACTCCTGAAGTTTGACCGCTGGGGGTCATTGGTATCCTGGGTGACACGATTGCAGATTTAAAGATTCGCTGCCGTGTGCGACCAAAGTGGCCTACAACCCAACACAGGTCCCTTCCTCGTACACTTTCGCTTTGCAGTGGGCTGAACAGCGCCTGGTTGAAAATGTCCAACCCAGGCGACCCACCTCCCGTTACAGTTTAGTATATCCTCCCCAGTTCAAAGCCGAATACCGATTTCCGCAACTCTCTGGTAATGTTAAGCCCGGATTAAGCAGAACCCCTGGTTGATTAATAGGGGGGTGTCCCCTTTTAGTGGGGATTCATCACTTTTGGAGGGAACACCCCCCCTAATAATGGGACTGGTTTATGAATCCTGGGTCAACATTATTCTTTGTGCACCTCCGTCCAACATTGCCGATCCGCGGATCGATCGGCCGTTTTGCAGGGCCATGGCTGAGGAGAGGGCTGCGCATGGCTGTGAGCGCCCCAACAACAAGTCTTGCCCAACACCTGTAGGCCATTCTAGGTCCCCCAGTAGTGCCTTCTCTCCCGTTTTTCGGGGAGGGTTCCCCTACTAAAATAGCCTACAGAGAAAAAGGGTACCCTTATTCTAACCTTTCTACTGGAGGACCTAGTATTGGGTCTCTGCCCAGAAAGGCTCTGGGGTGGCTGCCAAAGAACGGGCCTGGGAAGGATCACTTGACGATTGACTCTTGGTTCTACTAGCATGGTGTTGTCAAAATATATACGGGTATGTGTTGTGGTGAGGTTACATTTTTTGTCGCTAAGGAACCAAAGGGACCGGTTCAACCAGGCAACAGTAAGCCCAAGTGATACCCCAACAGCCCCGAAACCCTCCAGATGGTTGGGTGCTTGTTGATCTTTGTTTGGGTGTCAACTCCTTTGGACGTTGGGTCCTTTTCTTTCATTTTTGTTGGCCGGGTCATTTTCAAAGGGGGGGATACCAAGTGTTCACATTGCTTAGCTTGCTTTTTCGAGGGGGGCTTTGTATTTAAGTTCCTCTTGCAGGTGGTTTTAACATCTTTGAGAGCCTACCCCTGGGGACGTTCCCCCCTTCAAGACAAACTTTTTACTACCACACACTTAGACCGATTTAGACCTGTCAGACTTACTGCACGCGTCTCTCATTTTTTAGAGCTGTACGACCTTGGGTGTCAAAAGCCGGGCGTTCCCTGTTCCTCTTGGCATCGCCAGAAATACTTGCTTCCCAAGCTGGGCCACACATCTGCGCAGTTTAAGTCCATCTCAGCAGCGACGAAATGAGATGTCATGAGATGTTCTTTTTGTTGGTCACAATCCACTTGAGTGAGAGTCGGGCATCCACGTGGGCATGGGTCAAAATAAACGCCACCAGGGGACCGCAAGTTTAGTCGTTGTTCCCATTTACCAGGGCAACCCACTTTGGGTCAGCCCGTGTTCGACCCACCTTCATACGGCTTTGTCTCCAAATGCCTTCCAAAGGCGTGTTTTCCTTTTGGTGTCCCTTGAATCTGGAAGCTCTACCATTTATGTACCAATGCAGCGTGTGAGGTATTTAGGGGCACCTACCCAGCATTACACGGTTGGGACTTTAGATTGACTCCAATCAAAAGCACATGTTTGACCCACTTTCATGCGGCTTTGTCCCCAAAAAGAAGCAAGAATGGATATCCTTTTGGTTTCCCTTGAGCCCCCCCCCCCACCGAACTGGCGGACACAAATTCGAAAAACCACGAATCCACCCGAAAACTCAACCAATCCACCAAACCAACGGGCTCCAAACCACCCGTTTTGAGCTATGTCCCCCAGTAGTGCCCTTTTATCATTTTTGGGGGGTTCTGGGTTCCCCTACTAAAAAATAGACCAAAAAAAAAAAAAAAGGAAAGTTGGTACCAATTTCTTCTAAGCTCTCAAACATCTGGAGGACCTTCTTGAGGGAAGGTGATTGACCCCTCACCCCAGCCACTCGCTGGGACCTACGCCGATCGGTAGGACAGCCTCCACCTCGTCTTGGAGCCCAGCCCGGGCCATGGCGACCCCAAGAGCCGGGCCCCCCGGACGCTCGCTCTCAGACGCTCTCAGACGGAAGGAGCGAGCGAGACCTCGCCCGCTTTTTTTTGTTTTTTTTTTGGGGGGGGGTTTTCGTAAAAATTCGGTTGAGGCAAAATACATGTCTAATTGGTTTTTCGGTTAAAAGTTGGTTTAGGGGTGTTTTTTGTTTTTACTGGTTTTAGGGGTTTTGTCTTTGTTTTTAGGTAAGACAGAAATGTTTGGGTGAAATTGGTTTTGCGGTCTTTCGATTAGAATGGTTCTAATGGTGTGGCATTCTCACGTCCACGCCCAGGATCCGGGGGCCAAGCCATGAGAAACAACGAAATGCAGCGAGCAAACCTCAGCTGGTATTTCGAATAAAGTTGTTATTGTGGCAAATGGCGTTGCCCGCTTTACTATGTTCGTACAAACAACCAACGGCATCCAAAGAGGACTCGCTCGCCAAAAGCGAATCGACCTCTTGATCTTCGATTTGGGTCCCCGTTTTCATCATGGCCCCAAGAAGCTGAACCTTTTTGCGTGGGTCCTTTGGGCAACTGGGAGGAGATTCCGTAAAAACGGTGAGTCTGCGACAAACCGAAGCAACTGCATGAGGGATAAAGCAAGACCTCGCCGACGAAAAAGGTAACTTCTGGGGATTTCCTTCTGTCGGGCTGGAGAAGTATTGCGTTTGTCACCCAGTACAGCTGGGTATCCGAACTGGAAAACTAGGGTTGTCACTACGGCAGGACGCTGAGAATTTGGTTAGCTGCCATCGCTATCCAGGCAAACTTGTCCCTGTAGGTAGTGGTGTTTGCACGGAGGTTGGCTCAGACAGTTGCGGCAATGCGTGGGTTAAATCCTGGCTGAGGAACGCAGCTTTATCCGGGTCTCCTCCAACACTATGTTGGATTGCAGGGTGAACAACATGGATCCTCCAAATCATGTTGCGTTTTAGGCTGAACTAAATATGTATGGATCAGCATGATATGTCCCTGCCCTAGATGTCCTCCTAGCGGACTATTTCTTCCTAGATGCGTTGGATGGATTCAATCCAGTTGTCAAGTATTATAAGGGCTGTCAAGGGCTTCTTCTAGTGAGACTGTGGTGGGGGTCATTGACGGCAGGTTGGGACACTTGTCACCCGATTCATTTGAAACCGCCGTGTGGTTCCGCGTTACCGCATGAGAGTGGCATTTGCCATGTGGGTGTGTGCATGGATGTGTGCATCTTGAGTGGACCCCAAACATGCTGGTCTTCCTTTTTTATTCCTTCAAAAAGTCTTGCCAACACAGGGGTACCCTCAAAGACACACCCTGTCTTGCCCTGACTCTTGTTGCCAACTGCCCGGCCGCTGTGCTTTGGTCCCAGGCGAGGAGAGCTTGCGTGAGTTAACTCGCCAGCGCTTTCGCGACACCAAGGCATAGGGATCCACCGAGACGACGTTTCCCTTTGAAGGGGGTGGGCGTCTTCCACGAAGGGAGAAGCCGGGTACACAATCCACGTGGCAAGTTTTTCGTTCAGAGGCAGTCACATACTTCAAGCCCGGCAATTCCCCACTTCCCGGAAATGACCCCGGGAAATCAAAAACGCACTCCCCCTCCCCGCCCCTCCCCCCCCAAATTTTGGATACGCTACACACTTCAAGCCCAAGCAATCCCCCCATCCCCCCCTTCAAACAAAGAAAAGGAAGTCGGAAAGTCAACAATCAATCCAGTTGACACAACCAGAGAGAACACGTGAACCCCCCATGAACCCCCCCACCCACCCCCAACCCGCTCGCGCCCTCCAGCCCGGACCCATGGCGTCGCTGCTCCGCGCGCTGCGCGCGCCGCGGCTCGCCGCGGTTGGCCGCGGCCAGCTGCGGCAGCTGCGGGTGCGGGCACGGCCTAGCACGGCGGCGGCTCGGAAGATCCGGAGGGGCGTGGCACGCCTCGGGTGGGGTGGGGCTTCTTTCTCTTGGTGGCTCGGAACCTGCCTCATCCGGTTCCTTGTTTTTTGTTGGTTTGCCTTTTTGGGGTTTAGTGGGGAGATGGGGGGCGTGGCGCTCTTTTTTTGTTGGGGGGGGGTTACCGGAGCTTTTCGTGGTGTTCGGAACCAGCCATCCGGTTCAGCTGAGGTTTTTAGATCTTTTTAGGTGAAAGGTGGGTTTTGGATTTATAGCCCGTTAAAAGTTAAACTTTTAGCAGGGGATCTGAGGACAGCCCAGTTTTGGTCGGTGTTCTTTGAGATGTGCTAACAGGCAGCTTGGGGGGAAGCAAAAAGGAAAACAACGATGGTTTGGGTTCCCGAAGTCGACCGGATCTGACCTTTGAATTTTCGAGTTTTTTTCCATATTTAGTCAAGCTCCCCAAACGATAAACCTGTTAGTCCCAGGTCCCTTGGGCTAAAAAGAGCGTTTCCCACCAAAAGTGAAGCACCCACTTTGCAATGGAACGATGAGCCCTGGGTTTACATTTGCATGTTCAAGATCCTATAAGCGAACCATGCTGCTATTGGGTTGGATGTTTAGACTCTACCTTTATTCGACAGCAAGTCGGTTTTCCGAATTGAACCCCAGACCTCAAAATCTACATCTGGCTGGTTTTTCCCAGAATCTGGGCCAAGATCAGGTGTCAAGACAGTAGCCCCGCTCTTTTTTTCTCTCGACTCCTCACGATTCCAGGCAGAGAGCATGTGCACGGTGGACAGCCCTGCGGTGAAGAATTGGCCACCCATGGACCAGGCGACTCGTCGAGCCCCGATCAGAGAATTCCCACCTGCGGGTTCCTTCTTGGGGTGGCTGGCCGTTGGGGGAGCCAAGGAGCTGGGTCCAAATTTTGCAGTGGGAGCTAGGCAGCTACCAGGAGTCTTGTAAGCACTGGGTCAGGTGTGCGCGTTTGTTTTTGTTGCGGGTCCCTGTTTGGGGTACGATTGGAAGGGAAGCCAGAACGAAAATCGAGCAACACAAGTCTTGACGAGCCATACCCAAGTCAAGATCGAGTTTTATCGGCTGACTTTGCAGATCGAGTTTTAGCAACCCGTGGGAGAAGCGAAGCCCAAGGCCCTGTGCTTGGATCCCTGTTTGCAGGCTTTGGACTTGTAGAATTGTGCAGACTCGTGGCTTCCTTGCAGGATTGGGCACGACATGTCTGATTAGCGAACAATACCCTTGCTTCAACTGATTTACTTGCATGAAAGTTTTAGCTTACAGCTGGAAAGACATGCAAATACTCCCTGCTTTGCCCCAGTTGCAGGTGCATCTTAAGCCTTGAAGTGGTGCCCAGCCATCCCCTTAGGCTCTTTTTTAATTTTATTTTATTTTGGGCCATCCCCTTAGCCTCTTTTTTTTGTATTTTGGGTTTAGCGGGAAAATCCCCCATTTAACCCACTAAAGCGGGGGATCACTTAAAGTGGAGAGCGCAGCGGTTGCCTTCTGCGCCCAACTTTGAGCCTTCGCCGCCCTCAGGTGGGGGATCCAATGACCCCCCAGCGGTGCCGTAGCATTATGCAGCAGCTGCACGTGCAGGAGACGGAGGGACCACACTGTTTTTCTCGGCGGTGATTGATTTCAGCGCCCGAAAGTTGTTTAATCACGAAAGCTAGCTTTAGCTGAAGTTTCTCCTTGCGTAAGCAAGGGACCCCCCCCTCAGTTAGAGATGTGCTCTCCCACCGCCATACTGCGCATTTTGTCCCCACTCCACCCGCCATACTGCACAAAATCCCACCTACAAAATCAATAAATATCCCAAACGCATTGATACAATCATCGCAAAACAAATGTATCAACCCATTTACTCCTCAACTCCTAGTGGCTTTGCTAATTCACAATGCCTTTTCGATCCATTATGGCTACACTTTGATGTTTTCTTTGCTAAAAATACTTGACAGACATCGCACCACCACGAATCGCCACGATCGGCTTCCAACTTCTCCCCAGCTTCTATCATTTGATATCGTTTGTGCCGACTAGTCAGTAAATGCTTCGTCCATTCTGATTTAGCTACTTCTACCTTGCAAAGATCACAATATCGTTTTTCTCTCTTCTGTTCCAAAATCTCGTTTCTATGATTGACATAATACTTGTGACATTTCTCTGCCATTTTCTCAGGATTATTTTGTTGATAAGTCTTAGCACTAGAAAGGCAATAGTTACATACTTTTCTCCCATCCTTGAACTCTCCTAGTTCTTTCTGTTTTCTGCACCTACTGCATCTCTGTAAGTTTTCCATACTACTATTTACTATCATGTCTTTAAGTGTCTTCTAACTGCGTATGTTCTAAGCTCTCCCACCGCCATACTACACAAATTATCACTCCCCGAAAAGTGGTTAACCAATGGAAAAGGGAGAATTAAAACCGTTAACCCAAATCTTGAAAATAATCCCAGTAAAATATGGATGGCAAAATGCGGATGGGAAAGGCCTAGGTAGGAAAGCACCACCACGGCTTATACGGGAAACCTATACTATAATTACAACATATAAGATCTTACATGTTGTAACTATAGAAGGATTAAAATAATAATCAGGTAATAAATCTTCAAATATGTAATCTACATCTGTTGATTGTCTCCCTGAAAGAGCACAAACCTTGCATTTGGAGCTGTCCAAAAAGGGACAAACACCATACACCAAAAGCGGTGTACGCATACACCAAAAGCGGTGTACGCATACACCAAAAGCGGTGTACGCATACACCAAAAGCGGTGTATGTTAAAAAGGGGCTTTTTCAGCCTCAAATTATTTAACCAACCAAACTCACCAAAATTTCACTGATTAAACTACTAGGTATTTTATATAGGTCTTCCTGCTTATGTATTTTTGGATTGTCTCCCCATTTTTCCTTGTTTCCATTTGGCAGTCTCTGTGCAGTTTCAATATGTTTATTATTCCTGATGTTGCCACAATCCTTTTTACATAAATCTCTAGGTTTCCATGTTGTAATGTTATTCCAGAGCCTAGTGCGTTTTCTGTAAGGCATTCCATATTTACAATAATCAACATCTTTAAATTCAAACTCATCCATAAACTC